CTGGGACATGGCACTGCCTGCATGCGTCCCCCCTGCTCCCCAGCGCAGAGCTGCTTCGGTGTCTTGGTGAACTTTGCAAATGACCCAAGGAGGAAACCAAGAGGGGAGAGGCCAGAAGCTATGGATTCCAGCGCTTCAGTCACTTGAAAACAGCCCTGCTTGGAATGAGAGACGGCTGTACATTCAGCTGAGAAGTGAGGGGGCTGAACACCACGGGGAGCGGGCCTAAGCCATCAGTGGGACATCCTGTGAGGGCTCCCAGACTGTGAGGGGGGGCAGGCCGGGCTGAGGGACCCCCCCCCCCCACCCTCGTGCACAAATTTTCATGCACTGGGCCTCTAGTACTTTCATAATTATTCAAAGCAAACAAAAATGACACTTTAAAGTTTTATTTTCTAAACCAGAGCTCTCAACACCTATATCCCAGTCCCACCCTGCAGGACAAATCCAGCTCCTGGCCTATTTTTGTACAGATTTTTATATTTGTAAAAAGCTATTTAAAAAATGAATATGCAACAGAGACCATATGTGGACTGCAAAGCCTAAAATATCTACTATCTGGCCCTTTACAGAAAATGTCTGTTAAACCCTGATTTAACCAGTCATTATCCTTTACTGATGGAACTTCAGGATACTAAGGAATAGAGAGCTATTCGACCTCCCTTCACAGGATTCTCACTGGAAGTAATATGTTTCAGTCTGGGTTTTCTGGCTGAATTTTCTGTCTTCTTCCACGCTGCCTTCAAAAACTTCACCAGCCACTGCTCCCAGCAACATGCAGCTCTTTCTACTTCTCTATTTTTTTTATACTTGTCAGCTGTGAACTCAAAAGTTATTCAGCCAAGCTTCTTAAAATTGGGTTCTGGGTGAGGCTATAAATGCACTGTGCCTCAACATTTTCCCACCTCAGGTTTCTCTTTATTTTTTAAGCTAAGTTAACCCTGACATCTAGATGTTACCTACCAGGTAACTTCAGCAGATACAGTTCATACACATAAACCTAGATTCATTTTTAACTAAGGTTTGCAATTTTTCTCTTTTGCCTACCTATAGGTTTTTAAATATGTTCTTTTCTTCCCTCTCCCCTCTTAAATAGCTTAGTCCACACTGACCTAAAATCTTCTGCTCTTCAGAAAAATCACTTTCCATTACTCTGAACTTTTGAGGCTTCTTAACTTCAGAATTTCAGTAGATTGTATTATCATATAGTTATGCTGCAATATCTGCTAAAGAACAAAATTAATGTTAGGGTAGTAGTATTGTTAAATGGATTGTCTCTCATATCTATTTCTCTCCAATATAAAAATCTGCTTTCTCGCGTTATTTGCTTTAAAATACAGATCAAAAGTTCTGTGAGATGTCAGAGGTTTTTCTCAGTGTTGGTAAAAAACAGCTGTGCACAGAGGCACACTGGGAGGCTTAAGGAGATAGAACTGCTTACCAGGTGATGAGGTAAAAAGCAGTTTAGGAGAGCGAATGAGCCTTTGGGGCAGACATTTCTGCCTTGGCTCCCTCATACCCTAAATTCCCTGACATCACACCTGATTCTCTCTCGGACCATGTAGTTTGGGTGTGGCTGAGCCTATCAGGGCAGAAAAGCGTTAACGTGGCAGGTCTGAGACTGCTGTCCTTAGAAAGGTTTGTGTGCAAGGTTGGCCCTTGGCTGGCACCTAGGAACTTAGATTTCAGGAAGGTTCCCACCATGCCCTCACTGAGAATAGGGGGAACCTATGCCCAAACTGTACAAACAATCTGGCTTAAATTAAACACCTGCTTTCCTTCTAGGAGTCTAGAATTTTGGTAGATGCTCTGGAGAAGCCCACGTGACCAAGCTCCCAGTTAAAGCCTTGGGCGTTGAGTCTCAGTGGACATGTCATACCTACTGCCACAGTTTGATGCTGGGGAAGCAAGCAGGTCCTCTGTAACTCCATGGGGAGAGAACTCTCAACGCCTCTACCTGATCTCCTCTGGACTTTCACCCTGTGACGCCTTTTCCCTCTTCTGATTCTGTTCTGTGTTGTTTTACTTAATAAATTATAGTCGTGATATGACTGTATGCTGAGTCCTCTGAGTCCTCCCAGCAAACCACCCAAACTGGGGGAAGTCTTGGGGCTCCCCAACACTTCATCCTTAGCTTCATACAATGGTCAATCAGTACATCCAACATCTCCGGCTACAGTGATGGGCTCAGGGATTGGCTTTTAACCCATCACAGCCAGTGAAACCAGGTGAGAACTTCACTGGCCTTCTGCAGGCTGACTTGGGATGGGACTGTGATGCTGTACCCAGTGGCTGCCTTCCTGTAACCATAACAGGAATAACCTGGAGCTTCCAGGAGCACCATGTGGAGCTGGCGGACAGAGCAGGCAGAGATTGCAAAGAATTGCGCCAAGATAACACTGAATTGTTTGGTCAAGCCCCTTCAAAGCCAGTCCTACCCTTCAGTTGTGTGGATAAATTCTGTTATGCCTATTTGAACTGGTTTTATTACTTCCAACTGAAAGAATCCCAACTGATGCAACTGTCAACCATGTTAAGAGGCTGACAGTAAGATGACAATCACAGATTTCAGTGGAGAAGCCACATGTTCAGAAGGCCCCTCTGATGGGTGGTGACGGTGGACAGTAAAAGACTGGAGAGACCATTGGAAAGCTATTAAAATGAGCTGTCACAGAGAAGGGCATACTCAGGTAGTGGTATCAGAGAATAAAATCTGTAAATATTCAGGAAGTAGAAAAGACAAAAGCTGGTGATGGATTAAATATGGGGTATGAGGAAGAGAGAAGTAAAAAATGACTGCTTTCTTCATTTAGGCAAAAGGTGATGCTTTTAACCAAGACAAAAACAGAAAAAGACACAGATTTAGGGGTAGAGAGGAAGATCACGTTTACTTTGGACATTGGTCTGCAGTAACTGTGACAGCAGTCTGGTAATGATTTGAAACTGTGGGTGAAACTGTGGAATTATGGAAAAATCAAAGCTCAAGATACAGATTGGGAGTTACGAGCAATTAGGTAATGGCTGAAGATATGAGTAGATTGAATGATGCAGGAAGAAAATGTCTCCTGAAAAGAGGAGGTTGAAACCTTGATAAAAAAATCATGAAAAAATAGGTAGACAGAGAAAATTAAAGAGACAAGAGAGATGAACTCATAAGCTCATTAAGAAGTTAATATATTTCTCATTAGAAGATAGACGGGAAGGAACTAATTGAGGTGGGTGGTGCATTCAATAATATTAACTATTATAGAAAGCTTAGGGAGCACGAGGACCAATAACAAAGCTGCTAAATCTAGATACCAGTGTCTTTCTGACCTTTAAAGATTAACAGAGAGAGGTTAGTACGATAATGAAAACGTTGCTTTCTTGCCCTGCCAATGTGCTCTGTGGTTAGAGCGTTGACCCACTCACTGAAGGGTTGCAGGTTCTATTCCCAGTCAAGGGCATGTACCTGTGTTGCAGGTTTGATCCCTAGCCCTGGGTTGGGGTGCATGCAGGAGGCAACCAATCAGTGTGTCTCTCTTACATTGATGTTCCCCTCCCCCCTCCTCCCCGCCTCCCCTCTTCCGCTATCTTCCTCCTTCCCTTCCACTCTCTCTAAAAATCAATGGAAAAATATCCTCATGTGAGGATAGCAACAACACAACAAATCACTTTCTTAACATGTCTTAAGCATCTAAGGTCTCGATTCAACACATTCATTATGTGTGGTGGCATTTGATTAATTTTAATATGCTATTTAATATGCTGTTTCTATTTAGAAGGACATTAAGCTTTTCCAAGCTCAACAGGGACAATAACTATTATAGAAGACCACCATTAAAATACTGCCATTGTTTTTTAAATTTAGTTGGCATAACAATGGATCACTGTGAATTAAAGTTAATTTTAAGACACCATACAAAGTTCAAAAGACTAAGGCATAGTTGACAAATATGTAACTTTTCTTCTATGCCTTCTATATATTGTGCTCATTCATTAAATCAACAATAATACATTGAGGTCCTGTAGTATGTTCCAACACTGTACTAAACACTAAAATTCTAAATTTCTGAGACCTACTCTCTAGATCCCTGAACTCCAATTCCCTCAATCTTATTCCCTGAAGCAAAGTACTGTGGTTGTGGGCTCCCAGAAGCCCTATTCAGGACTGAAGACATACCCCTCAGCTGCAGGGAAGATAATTAATTGACTATAAGCACATTCCAGGAACTGCTCTGCTGCTTCGCCCAAGGTCATGGCCCCGCCACAGGGCAGGTTGTAATCAATAACTAGTTAGCTCAGGCAAGTCTAAAGGTGACCCCAGCTTCTGAGCTCCTTAAAGTAACTGCTGAAGGCATGTGGAACAAGCACCATAGTGTAACTTCTCCCTCTGCCTAGCCCTGCTTCCTCTGTTTACCCCCACCTCCTTCTCTATGCGCTGATCCCAAACACACTTCTAAATAAACTTCCTGCCCCTAAACCTTTATCTCAGTCTGCTCCCCGGAGAACTCACATACCCTGTGGTATGGCCACACATACCCTGCTCAGCTGTGCTCCATGACTGAGGCATACCCTCTCCCTGGCCTGAGCACTCATGCACTTTTTCATTACCTCTGCAGCCACACCATCAGAGAGCATTTTCTCAGCATCCATCATCTGAGTTAAAGGTTGGGGAAATAATGATATGACAGTACTTGCTAGTGAACATCTTACTATTTAAGTTTAACAATTAAGCAAGAAAGCTATATATTTGGTAGACTTACAAGCATTAGATGAAAGTAAAGAATTTCCAGCTAAAGGGGGAGAGGAAGAAAGAAAACTATTTGAGAACACAAAAGACCTTTCTCTTGCCTTAAAGCAGAATACTATCTACTATAGCAAAGTGTGAAAAATGAGTACATGTATGAAAATTCATGTTAAAACCGGGGTTTCAATAAATTACAGAACAGAAAGTAACAAAAAGTGCAAAAGGCATCAATGTGGCCTTTACTCATTTAATTTTCCTTTCAACGTATAAATGCTATTAACAATTCTAAGGATACTAGACTTTAATGAAAATTTTTTATTATGAAGATAAGGTCTAGGAAGGATAATTATGTGCTATTTTACAGTCCCTTGTAAAAATAATGATAACATGAAAAATTAGTAGAAAATGAAAATCTGAAAAGTTATCTGAAATCTGAAAATGTTAAGCAATTTCTCCTGCATCTTAGTTTTGATCACTTTTGCTGAATCAGTTTTGTGTATTAAGGTGGAGAGAGAGTTCTTCTTTTGTTAACAATGGAGCATGTCCTTCAGAGCTTGGCATAGTCTTTAAAAATCGTCTGAAGCTTCAGGCTCAGCATGATGTTCCCTTTGGCCTTCAGTCTGCCACTGAAGAATGCCTGCAAAGAAGAGGGAAAGAGTACCAAACTTTACCACGTTACATTTTATTTGTATTTTTAAAAGATCACTGTTAAAAAAAAAAAAAAAAAAAAAAAAAGATCATTGTTGAGACTGAATACAATTGAGTTAACTCTTGGCAACAAAGGCAACTTTTACCTAGCAATGATAGTTTAATGATTATAGTTTTAGACAGCTAAGAAAAAAATAGACTCCTGTGTATTTTAGAAAACCACAGACTAATTTATTTGAACTGACAGATCTGGGAGTTCTGCTTCAAACTATGCTTCCAGCTTTAATTTATGTTCTTAAACATGAATTTGAGAATATATGAATTTTTAAAAAAGGCTTTACTGTGTTCCTAACAATTAAAATATTAAATTCAGAACTTTTAAAAGAAGATTAAAAATATGTATTACATCTTCATGAACTAGAAAGCCACATAATGATAAAAGAAGGTAGATAACCAAGTAGTGAGTAGATCCTGGGTGCTAGCATTAGAATGCCTGGGTTAAAATCTAGGCTCTGCCACTTACTAGAAAGCTGAGCTTGGGCAGATTCCATAACCTCTCTGAGCTCCAGCCTCCTCATCTACATGGGCAGGACAGCAGTACCTAAATCATGCAGCCTTGTTGTGTGAGTTAAATGAAACAGCGTGCAAAGTGCCTAGCTGAGTGTTTGACATGTGGTAAGAGCACAGCAAGCTCATTATTACCAAGTGAAAGGCTGTTGTGTTCAAACACTAAGAGCTCCTGTCACCTCTGTATCTGACCTGACAAAGGAAGCTGTGAAGTGCTTAAGTTTCTCCTCAATGTCAAGTTCCCTGTGAGTAAAATAAAAATAATAAATCAGTTTTTATCGCTTATTGAGAAAATAACACAGAATGGGAAATAAAAAGAAGTCCCTAGATTTTTATCTACATTATAAAATACACTTAACATTATGTACACTTAACATTACAAAGCAGCCCTACAAATATAATCTTACTTCAGAAGCACAGCCATCAGCTTAAAGTGGGCATAACAGCAATTCTCAGCCCTGGGTGACAGATGAGAAACTGAGGCTCAGACAGCTTAGATAACCTGTTCGAGGTCTCCTGCTTATTAACTAGTAGCAACTTAAAGTCAGGAGCAACTTAAAGTCCTCCCTCATCATCTGGAGGAAAAGCAAAAACTACTTAAACTTTTTATCCCAGAAAGAATCAGGGAGAACTTGCTCAATCAGAATCAAGTGCTGGATATTCAAACTGGAGACTGGAACTTCTAAACTAAGACTCTTCACTGTGCAGTTACAGGAACGACAGTTACAGTACTGAGGCCTATTTACAGGTACTAACATCTGAGAGGACTTACAACCTAAAATAAAAACACCTCATTTCTTGAAATAAATACACCAATATGTGGTGGTTGTTGCTGAGTGGAAAAACTGTATACATAAATCTTTGTTCTTATTTATTTTCTTATAATAGATTCCTAGAAAACGAATTAAGAAATCATGACATTTCTTACATAAGGTTCTTGACCATACCTCCATATTGCCACAGTTTCCAAACTATACACTATGGGACCCCAGAGCATCTCAGCAAACCCACAGGGACACTAAGGAGTATTTAAAAATTGGTCAAATATAAAAAAAACAACAACATGAAAAACTACTCTGTTTGGACCTAACTACTTAATGATTCGCCATAAAGGAAGAAAGTCAGTGAACCTCTGCCACAGTGCTTTCCAGAAAGACACCACCAAATTAAAACTCTTTCCAACTACATGGGAATTCTCTTACTTCAACCTTAATAATACTATTTTCTTAATTTTTGAAAATCCAAGGCAAAATGACATGCTTTAATTTGCATTTTTAGATACAGGGAAAAATCAATAGTTTCTCTTATGTATATTAGTCATTTCTATTTCTTTCATTAATTACTGGTTCACATCTTTTGCCATTTTTTTCTATTGAGATTTTACAGCTTTCCAGAATTTTTTACAGGTTATAGATACCAATATACTGTGTATCATCATCTTTATTTTTCTCCAGGTTTATGGGAATACCTTATGGAGTCTGACATGCAGAAGTTTTTAATTTCTACACAGTCCAAACTACTGCTGTTGAGTTCTGTTCCTTGTTTCTATCCTTGCCTTAATCTACTCAAGTATGAACTGAATGACTACAGTATACTAGGCAATATTCTAGGCTAGAACGTAGACATATTTCCCTGTTCTTGTGGAGTGCATATTATAGTAGGGGACTCAAAAAATAAAATGTAAGCAAAGACTTTAAGACTGGAGCAGTAAGACCAGTCAAAAAGCTGTGTAGTAAGCCAGGTGAAATGATGGACACTTGGATCATGGTGATATCCCTGGCAGTGAAGAGAAGAGGATGAATGTGAGGTATATTTTGGAGAAAGATCAGGCAGGATTAAGTCCAAAAAGGATACAGAGGTATAGAAGGAAGCCAGGACAATTCTTATATTACTGAGCATATAAATTTGGGTAGAGGAGATGCTGCCATTTCCTGAAAAGGAAAAGACTATAGAGAAAATGAAATCATGAGTCTACACTGGACATAGACATAATAAGTTTGAGATGCCAGTAAGATTTCCCATTCAAGAGGTCAAGTAGGGAGCAGATTCTATCACTATGGAACTCAGAGAAGACAACTGAGTGAGACATTTAAATCTGTGAGTTGTCACCCTAGTTGGTTTGGCTCAATGGATAAAGCATCGGCCTGCGGACTGAAGGGTCCCAGGTTCAATTCCGGTCAAGGGAACATGCCTGTGTGTGGGCTCAATCCCCAGTAGGGGATGTGCAGGAGACAGCCAATGAATGATTCTCTCTCATCATTGATGTTTCTATCTATCTCTCCCTCTCCCTTCCTCTCTGAAATCAATAAAAAAAAAATTAAATCTGTGAGTTGTCAACTTATAGACATCTTTAAATACTATAGGATGAATGGACTATTTAAGGAGCATGTTCTTTAGAAAAGAGCTGTGAAATGAGCCCTGAGAAACACCAAAAATTAATGGATGGGGTAGAATGCACCAAAGAAGGTCAGGAATAGCCAAAGGTGAAGGTGAATGAAGCAAAACAGGAGAATATGGTATTATGAAAGTCAAGGGATGAAATTATTTCAAGAAATTGATGATTACAAGAGTTAAATGTTCCTGGAAAGTTGAGTAAGACATAGAGAAATATCCATTGGAATTAGTAAAACAGTGGTCATCATGCAAAATCAGATAAGAAAGGGCAGAAAAGCAAAGTCAAGACAGAATGTTTAAACATGTGCTGTACAATAAAGTAGCCACTGAGCACCTGACTATCGTTAGTCCTTGCTGAGATGTACTATGAGGATAAAATACACACTGGATTTTAAAGACTTAGTATTTTAAAAAAGGATATAAAATATTCCATCATTATTTTTAATATTGATTACATGTTGAAATACTTGTATGTACTGAGTTAAATAAAAATACAGTTAGTCCTTGAACAGCATGAGTTTTAACTGTGCAGGTGGACTTATATGCAGGTTTTTTCCAATAAATTTACAGTCAGGCCTCCGCTCCCATGGATGTGAAACCTGGGGATAGAGGGCCAACTGTATATTTATAATGATGATAAACAGCATTGAGGTTGGAGAGAAGGTAATAGAACCAAATGAGTTTAGAAAATCCCTGGTATTAATTAGCATTTCTCTAAGGATTATCATTAAGAATAAGAAATACCTAGGTTTTCATCAAGTTTTTGCTTCTACTTTTATTTTTTACACAATTCCATTCAGTATGGTATTGACTTAGATATATGGAATAACATAAAGCACTATCATTTCCTAAACAGCTGCCCAGTATCATTCACTGAATAATCCATTTTCCCCCAAAGGTCTGTTATTCCTAGTAATTATATAAATGTTTCATTAATCCTACATTTAATCTTTATATACAGACATCTCAAGTATAACATATCTAAAAAATAACTCGTAATTACCTATTCTCTCTCCCAAAGGCAATTTCCATTCAGCAGATGCTGTCATTCCACAACTCAGTGGCTTCCATTCACACTTAAGACCTGAACTCTTTACCAAGTTCTAGTCTAGAGAGTCCTGGGTGATCCAGCCCTTGCCTATTCTCCCATCTCACATCCTCCCACTCTCCCCACTGCTCATTTACTATCACTGGCCTCCTCACAGTTACATACACTTAATACAGCGGTTCTCAACCCGTGGGTCGCGACCCCTTTGGCAGTCGAATGACCCTTTCACAGGGGTCAGCTAAAACCATCCTGCATATCAGATATTTACATTAGGATTCATAACAGTAGCAACATTACAGTTATGAAGTAGCAACAAAAATAATTTTATGGTTGGGTCACAACATGAGGAACTGTATTTAAAGGGCCAGAAGGTTGAGAACCACTGACTTAATACGTGACCCTACTCCTGCCTCAAGCCTCTGTACTGGTTGTTTCCTTAACCTTATAGCTCAGCCCTCACTTTGTTCAGACTGGACAACCTTATCTAAAATAGTGCCTCTATCCTGTCACACTCGAATCCAGAGCTGGCAAACTAGAGCCTGTGGGCCAGTACTACTCTGCTGCCTGTTTTGTAAGTAAAGTTACACTGGAACACAGCCACATCCATTTGTTCACATATGATCTATGGCTATGTTAATTCTACAATGGCAGAACTGAGTGGGTAAAACAGAGACCATCTGGCCTGCAAAGCCTAAAATATTTATAATGGGACCCTATAGAGAACCCTGACTTAATTTTCTTCATACCTGAAATTATATTTCTTTCCACTCACCTCTAGAACTAAGTTCCACACAGTTGGGGCACTGTCTTATCTAGCCACCCCTAGAACCCGAATATGAATAGGTACTAAGTAAATTCCTGGGAAGGAATAATCTCAGAACTCACTCAGTACCAAGTACTTACTAAACCAGGGGTGGGCAAACTTTTTGACTCGAGGGCCACAATGGGTTCTTAAACTGGACCGGAGGGCCGGAACAAAAGCATGGATGGAGTGTTTGTGTGAACTAATATAAATTCAAAGTAAACATCATTGCATAAAAGGGTACGGTCTTTTTTTTTTCAGTTTTATTCATTTCAAACGGGCCGCATCCGGCCCGCGGGCTATAGTCTGCCCACCACTGTACTAAACTCTTCACATATACTATTGGATTTAGTTATCATCACAATGCTTTGGGATTGTAATCATTCATTTTACCAATAAGAAAACTGAAGTTTAGAGAGTAAGTGGCAGGGCTAAGATTTAAACTCAGATATATCTGATGACAAAGAACATATACTTGACTGTACTACCTGACAATTCTTTTCAAATTATTTTATAATTCTTTTTAAATTAGTCTTTCTATCCAGAAAAACCGAACATTTTCCATTTATTCAAATTGCTCTGTTTCTTGTAAAGTTCTATAGTCTTCTTCAAATAAGCACTGCACTTATTAGGGTGGTCATTCATGTTTTTTAGTTTAGATTGTAATTATAAACTAATTTTTAAAAATTATATCTTCTAGCTGGTTTTGCTGCTATGTGAAAGCTATTTTTAATAGTTATTGTGCATTTAACCACTTCTTTGAACTCCTCTATTCTAAGAACTAACAAGCTGACTCACTTGAGATTTCTAGCTACATAATCATGATTTGAAAACAACAAGTTTTTCTGCTCCATTCTAACTGCTACATCAGTCACTTTAACTTTGTGTGCTTGCAGATTGGGCCAAAAGTTTCAAAACAATACTAACTCATCATAATCAGAAATGGCACTCCTGTTTTAATCATGGTTTTCCACTACAATGTCTGACTTTAAATATTTCACCTTCAATAAGACACTAGTGCCTGGCCAGTGTTGCGCAGTGGTTGAGCATTGGCCCAGGAACCAGGAGGTCATAGTTCAACTCCCGGTCAGGGCACATGCCTGAGTTGCAGGCTTAGTTCCCAGTAGAGGGGGTACAGGAGGCAGCCAATCAATGATTCTCTCTCATAGATGTTTCTATCTCTCTCTCCTTCTCCTTTCCTTTCTCTAAAATCAATAAAAATATATATTAAAAAAAGATACTAGCTGTTATACTCTATCTTTCTATTTCCAATTTTCAATGATGATTAAGACAAATTCTTAATCATATAACAGGAATGAATGTCTAATTTTATGAAATATCTAATATCATAGGGTTTTTCACCTTTGAATTAATGACCTAATACAAAGTGTAGATGTGGGTTTTATATTGTTGATATGCTAAAGAATTCCACCAAAAGTTCAATTTTAAAATGTGTCAGCTGAAACTCTACCAGAAAAATTCATGATTTGACAACTCAGATATTGGTATCAACTGTGTCTTCTTCAGAGTTGTATGAGCTCTGCCTTATAAATCAGAATTTGGAAGTCAGCTAAAAACTGCAATTGTCAAACAGAAAGCAATGATAAAGAAAAAATGAACATTTTAAGCATATTACCTTCTGAGGGTCAATCTTGCCCAGGACTACACCAATGAAATCTTCATCTGAAAGTGTGATTGTTACATCAGCAGAGCCTTTTGCAGGGCCTTGATACACTTTTCCTGTACCATTTTTTAGGTCAACAGCTGGGGAAAATAATAAAAAAACAATGTGAGTCATATTTTCTTCACAATATAGAGTAAAATAAACTATTTTAATACGGACATTTTTACAGTTTCCAAGTTAATGTGCTGCTTATTTATTCTAAATTAGATATCACTTTCATTTGGAAAAAATTTTTAAATCCTTTATTTTTTGAGGTGTCCTTTTTATAAAGACGTTCTCCAAAAAGTCAAATCAGTATTTTTCCTCAGTGAAGAATTTACCCAACAGAAACATTTTAATGTAGAATAATATAAGGAAATTAAGTTGGTGAAGTTTATATGGTTACAGCCTTTAGGTTCAAATACTCAACAAAGGAGGAAGCTGAATTTTAAAAGAGTTGCATGTTGGGGGAAGGGAACATATATTATAATCTCCTTTCAAATACCTGAATTCATCAAGATAGTCAACATAAATTTTAAAAAAATATTCTAATTAGTTTTGTTTTGATTTTTATAAAATACTTATTGCCTTAATTATTGTGAGTAAACATTAAAATTTACTCCTTTTCCGTTAATGTTTTTGACAGAAGAATTAAGTGCCCCAGGCTGGGTAACTAGAAAAACTATTAAACCTTTACCTTCATTGCTCCCTGTATCACATGTATAGAGCTTCATGCCATAGTTACACTTGACAAAGTTTTAATTATCATATATATGAGTGAGACCAGTCAGCCAGCAACCTGATTCTACTCCTCCAGCTTCAGCCTCCTGAGGGTGATTTCTCTTGCTACAGCAAAGGAGCTGCAGTCACATCACTCTCCGTGAGGTGTATAGGGCACTCCCAATTTAGGGTCAAGGAAAAGCTACACAATCTTAAGAAAAACCCACAGTGCTTACCTACATTCTGCTTAGCCACGCCTTGCTCCAAAGAGAAAATCAAATCACTCTAACTTTCCACAAAAGAGAATGCTACCAACTAACTAAAATATAATTTGACAATAATGGTTACCTTGGAGAGGGGAAAGGGCTAAGGGAAGGGAACCTCTCTGCTTTGTATACTTCATTCACTCACTTCATTGCTTCTATTGTGGATGTCAGACAATAGGCAAGGTACTACAAGTGAGGCATGAAAAGCAGACTGTTCTTATTGAAACTTACATATTATGAATGTGTTTTCATGTATTATTTGTACTACAGTGAAAAGGAAAGAAAGAAAGGAAAAGAGGGAAGAAGACAGAAAGGGAGGAGGCGGAGTGAAGAAGGGAGAAAGGAAGGACTCTAAAGGGAAGCAAACCTCTAGCATTCAAGGACAACACCATGGTTTAATTCTTCACTAGTATTTCTAAGGCCCACTGTCCATACGAGTCTTGCTCAGGAATAAAACTGCACCATACTCATCTCATTACTAAAGAGTGGCAGCAAGCCTCTTAGCAATGAAGGTTCTTAGCTGTCTGCTTGCCCTCTCACTCACCTGGTTTTACGTGCTACTTCACAGCCATGACCCTTGTAAAGCAATAAAACTGTCTTCGATGGAAATCTAGAAACTAATATTGATAAAATAAGAGAGCGCAAAGATGGGGAAAGTTCTTTGCAAGATACACAAAGTTGAGGTAAAGGAGTGGAACTTTCAGTTCTGCAGTGGCTCAGGTCAGGGTCTACAATTTGCCTCTTGGGGAAAATCATCATCTACCACCATCACTTTGAGTTTACAGACACCTGTAAGATCACAGCTAATCTTAAATTAAAATGAAGAAACAGATAGTATATATTTTATTTTAGTTGTACAACTTATTTTAAAAGCTTTATAAAATGACTTTAGCTTTGTATTTATATAATCATTAAGGCTCTAAAAGAGTCTATAAAAAGTTCAGTTATATATTACAGCATTTAACGGGGGAGGGAGAGGTGTTAGATGAGCACACAGCATTTGGAAACTTGGAGATCTTCGAAGGTCTTAGGATATAGACCTTACAAATCACAAAGGGATTCTCTGGGAGAAAGAAGTTGTTTTTGTGGATACCTTCTCCCCTTAAGATTATAAATTCTTTGCTGAAACAAGAACGTCTAGTCTTTAAACCTCCTTATGCTTTCCTGAATAGAAAGTACCTAGTAACTATTTGTTAAATGGCTGACTAAAAAGCACCTGGAAGAAGCAGCTCTATAAAAATAGTGACAGCAAACAAAATCTTAGGATGAAAGTAAAGGTTTCTTTAAATCACACCAAAAAGGACACAACACTTTTGTGCTAATCCTGCCAAAAGTTAATAAATTCTAATAATGATGAAGAAACATCAAATAAATACAAACTGAGGAACATTCTACAACATAAGTGGCCTCTACTCTTCAAATATGTCAATGTCCTCGAAAATGAAAACAGACTGAGGAATTTGTCCAGGTTAAAGGAGACTAAAGAGACCTAACAACTAAATGAAATGCAATATATGATCCGACACTGGACCTGAGCAGTTCTTACTTTTCCTTTCTTCATTTCTATTTTGTTATTGTTATTACTATTGTTATTCCTTTGATATAAAGGACATTACTGAGGAAATTTGTGAAATATTAGTAAGGTCTGTAGATTAAATAATACTGTATCAATGTTAATTTCCTGATATTGATAATTATTCTCTGCATACATATAAGAAAGCATTCTTAGGAGATGCTACCACTTTACTCAGGAATAAAGAGACATTGTGTCTGCAAGTTACTTTCAAATGCTTCAGGAAAACAATAATATGTATGAGAAACAAGAAAATGGAATAAAATGTTAGTTTGAAGAAACTGGGTGAAGGACAGATATACATTCTCTGTACTATTCCTGCAACTTTTCTGTAAGACTGAAATTATTTTAAATAAAAAAACTATAAGAAGATATTAAAATGAATAACACACACAGCAAAATGAAAAGCCGTAATAGTTTTAGGTAATCTGTGTGTAAATGCACATGGGCAAACAGTCAGGGGCTGTGATGGTTAAAGGGGAAGCAGCCACTGTTGCTAAGGGAAAGAGTAACCTGAAGCTGACGCCTCTCAAATAAGTAGGTCCCCATCCCAGACTGGACAGCATCTTCTTTCCAAAGATCAGCTTTCAAATTTTTTTTTCCAGAGTTTCTATAAACACATGAGATGCTCATTTGGATCCCAACCCTAAATATGGGACCAATACCCTTAAGATCTCATTTATATCCACGCTGAGAAACCCTAAAGGGGTTTCTGCTTCGACCACTAGAACATGAGCAGCAACCCAAGAGCTAACGGTATCCTCAAGCATGAATGTATTCCGATCTTAAAAGAATGGCAGTTGCCCAAACTGTACATATTCTACCACATACTGGCAAATTTCCAAGACCCAAAACAGATGACTTCCAACATGCAAAATAAAACAACTCTAACATCCATTCATGTTACATAGTGCATAATAGATGCCTGGATTTAGTCCAAATAGGTAGACTTAGCACTACACCATTGTTACAGTACACATTTTAAAAAAGCCAACTCACTTTATTACTCAGCTAACATTATTTAAGCAATAATGCATAGTATTTCTATAATCTTGCTATATAAATGTAAAATCCAATTATGTTCCTATAATGGAAAAGATTACAAATATGTAAAAGGAAACCAAATTTCCTTTAGGAGAAAAACAACCAAATTGCTCAATGCCAACCAGTTTAAACCTATCATCCTAAGGAACACACATATACTTTCTACTCAGTAACAGCGTATCATTATTACATGAAAATAAATCTGTCTTTGTCAAAAGTTTCAGTTTTGTAGCTACTTCATAATCAAACAATAAACAAATCTTATTTGGGAACACAGGGCAATATTCATGTCTAGAGTTATAACAAATTGTATATTTAAAAATTGGTCAAATTCTAAGATGCTCACTTTATTTAGAGAAAAATGGAAATACTGGAGCCATTATTCTATAAACCATGAACAGCAAATAACCTTGCAGGAACAACAAAGACTTCCCTCTATTCCCTCCTGTGCGCCACAAAGCAGAGTAGCAAAGCTAATGCTCTGAGTTCCAACTAATAGTTCCATGAACATGGTTTCTAGTTCTGTCTCCAGCTGTGAACAGTTCCCACAACCCAGGCCAGATCTTGGGCTGCTACAGTTTGGGTATCATAGCTTTTCATCTTCTCTCCTAAACGTTTCTGCTCTCTCATGTTTCACCTTTTAGTAACACAATCAAAATCCTCAGTCATGCCCTGACCGGTTTGGCTCAGTGGATAGAGCGTCGGCCTGCGGAGTGAGGGGTCCCAGGTTCGATTCCGGTCAAGGGCATGTACCTTGGTTCTGGGCACATCCCCAATAGGGGGTGTGCAGGAGGCAGCTGATCGATGTTTCTCTTTCATCGATGTTTCTAACTCTCTATCCCTCTCCCTCTCTGTAAAAAAAATCAGTAAAATATATTTTTTAAAAAATCCTCAGTCATGCAGCTGAGCACTTCTTCATTAGCTGTCTCTTTCTCATTCCTCTTGTTTTCCAGGCATTATTAGTAGCCCAGTCAGTCAATTCTATCTCAGCAATAGATCCACACAGGCCCTTTCCTCTCCATTATTGCCATCACCTTAATAGAGGTCCTTCCTTCCTTTTTATCTGTGGTACAACCATCCTTGTTTCCTTAACTCCAGTATTTTAAAGTTTCCTGGTTTCTGTAGACCAAAAAACACACTTGTCTTTTCACATCTGTAATCCACAACCTGGCTGAGAACTTGGCACATAGTAAATACTCAAATATTTGTTGAGTGAACCAATCCTCCCGTCTGTGAAAGCCAACAGCACGTTTCCCATGACTCTGATCACTTCTGTTCTACCAGAATTATTTGTATATATGAATAGGTCTCAATTCCCTATTTAGCTCCTTTGGGCCAGATGTGTTAAGAATTCAGAATTTTTCAGAATTTAGGAAGAAAATACGGTTCTTAAAACATGTATTACATATTCTGGAAGACCTCCAACACTATAAACAAATATGTGGTTTCTATATTTGACTAACCAGGTGAGATAAGGACAATCAGTTGCATTGTTAAGTTCTAGTCAGATGTTGCCACCAATGAGTTATGAGAAAAAAACTCTCCATTTTTAGAGTTTTCAGTTTCTGGAATTGCAGATAAAAAACTAACTGTGTTCTAATTTTCAGGAGCAGACTATTCTATAGGCCATATAAAGCCTCTGATTCTTTCATCTTCTTGATGACTTTCTCTCATCTTTCATTTCCTCTGAATTTTTACTGCTGCTTAGAACAAAACTGTTGCTTAGGGACCCAAAGGGTTTACAGGGACAACTTTTGGCTGGCTTCAATTAATAGTAATAAAATCATAAAATATACTACTTACTTATAAAATGTTTCAATTATATCATATTATTTCTGAATATTTCCTCATCCTAAACAGAAAATACATATTACTCTCCATATAATAAACTTATTGTTTTAAAAGAAGAAAAGGCACCAATTTCAGCACTTTTTTTAAAAGGCAAGCATCTGATTCCATCCAAAGCTGTGCATTTTACATGGCTTTTAGCACTTATTTAACACTTACGGAGTCAGGCTACTATGTGTTATAGATCGTACTTGAAGCTGGAAATAAACTAATCCAGAGCTCTTATCAGTGTTCAACCCAGGACAAGTGGGAGGAGACATATAATTAGAAATGACCATAACACAGTAAGATAACGGTAGTGAACAACAGGCTCTGTTCAAAGAGAATTCAGAGATTGTTTCTCCATCTAATGTCTATTTTTAAAAAAATATATTATTTTTATTGATTTCAGAGAGGAAGGGAGAGGGAGAGATTACAAACATTAATGATGAGAGAGAATCATTGATCGGTTGCCTCCTGCACACCCCATACTAGGGATCGAGCCTGCAACCCAGACATGTGCCCTGACTGGGAACTGATGTCTATTTTTACCTTTCCAACCTAATCCAAGAGTCTCTAGAAAAATAAAAAGACAAAGGACAACCTTTATTCAAAAGGGGAAAACACCTGAAGGTATATAGGCTATCTAAAAAAGATGTTCAGACATGGCCAGGCATTGAATTACATTTTGGAGTAATAAAAAAGGCAGAGACAAAAATCACTGTATTCCTGATATTATAATAAGTATTAACAGTGAAATAAGTAAAACAGGCTTCTATCTTAGCCTTATCTACTTAAGGAAACACTATCTATGGACCATAATGTTTTTAAGAGTTCTAAAATAATACTCCATAAGCCAAACATTGTCTCCAGAGGTAGAAATAAGAAGCTGCAGGTGAATATTCCAAGATACAACTTCCTTCCCCAAAATACCTCACTGAGGCCCTCTGGCTTCTCATGTAGATCAGGGCCTGCATTTCTCCATGACACATACTCTTGGCCCGCAGAAAACAAAAGAAGGGCTCTCCAGCCTCTCTCAGGTCATCTCAGCCCAGCGACACAGAGGCCACTGGCTTTCACCCAGTCAGCTCCCCTAGATGACCTGAATGGGCCTCAGGGAGGCCTAACTCCAAAGACACAGCTTATGATTTCTCCTCCTCCACAGCCAAAGCCACCCCTCACCCAGTACTGACACAGAACCTCACTAACTCTCTCTATATTCGGACTAATTGGGTTTGCAAAGATTCACCCCTCGCCCCCATATGCATTCAGCCTGGAGATTTGTTGTTGGTGTTGTTTGGATGCTGGGTGAGGGAGTTAACAGGGAAGATGGGCATGATCCAAGATCTTTGGGTTGGAATGCGCCTTCCAGGCCACTGAGCCCAAACCCTTGTTCCTAGACTTGCTCAAGGTCAGTCACTCATGTAGCTCCAGTGACACCTGAGGCCAGCCAAGGTGGCTAGCTTAGCCCTGTTCTCTGTAACCAGGCTCCAGTCTGCCAACATGTGAAGGCTAGGACAGCTAGCAGCATTTAACATAGGAAAATATTTAGTAATAAGTATTTAGCAAACATTTTAAAAACTGCTTTTTGGGGGGGGGGAAAGGACCTTAAGTGTTACCTAAATCAAATCATTCAATCGTCTATTTCATGTTATTAGGTGTCAAGATGCAAAACGAGGTGCCAAATGGAATCACCTTCCAAGATACCATAAGCCAAAAGACCAAGATAGTTTCTGCTGCTGCCAGCTATTGCTACTTAATTCGGTGACATAAAGACTTTGAGAAAACAATAAAAAGAACTAAAAATAGTTGCACAGCTGAGAATCCAATCAAATAACAGGAAGCAGATAACCAAAAAAAAAAAAATGGTAAATCTTTTCAGAGAAAACTTTAAGATCCAATTTCTCTGTTAACTCAAAGAGATGATAAGACCAACATAAGCCACAAGGCATCAATAATAAGTACTTATTAACAAGATTCCAATATACCCATTTTTCTTTCCCAGTGAAAATATAAGGAAAAATGCCTTAGGTTAACACAAGGTCATTTTTCTATGTAAGCACATTTTCTAATATTGCCTACAAGGAAACTGTCACCAAGATAAGGGGAAAACCTTAGTTGGTAATTGAAACTGTCTGCCAAGAGTGAGTCACTTGTCTACTTTATAAATCCCTTCAGAGTTCTGCCAACAGTGAGACAGACAGTTCCAGCACCTTTTCTCACTCATAGATCTCATTTCTCTTCTTCACCAATATCTTCAAAAGTCCTGTGCTTTATATTTATTACCCAACTTCCAATATATTGTCATCCATTGGGATAAAATTGAATTCCATCACAGATACATACAAAGAAAAAGGGAAGGACAGAAAGATGAAAGAAAGGAAAGTGATGACACCTACAGTTACAGTGTTAATCTATGGAGTTATTTAGAAAAATATTAGACACTTTAAAATTTGGGGGACCAAGAACATATTACATTTTTGGCTTCCTTTATACCCCTTCTGGATTAACGGCCTATAAGTAGAAACGTCTTCCAGAAGAACAAACATTAAAACGTTAACTGTGGGTAGTAGAATTATACATCATTATTTTCTTTCTATATCAAACATTATACAATGAACATACATTGCCTAAAAGAAACAGCAACTGTTTCATTAAAAAGAAACATGTTTATAATGAACCAAAATTAATTAAATAAAAGTTCAAAATGTTTTTTAGGAATATGTAATAGATTATTTCAAAAGTTTCAGTTGATTTAGAGATGCAGTTTAATTTTTTGTTCTAAATGAGCATTTATAGTGATCTTCAGTTGTAATGAGAAATAATCTGATTTTCAAGGCATTTAAATAGGCACCTTTAAATAACAGTCTGATAATTAAGGTAATAATCCAAATTACTAATGTTTTGGGATGAAAAAAACAATTTTAAAATTGTCAAAATATGACAAAAATATCTCATTTGACCTGACAAACTTGCTTTATATGTTTAAGAGAAATTTGAAGATTAGTCAGAGAAGCATACTGCTAAGATGACTTTAAAAGTAGTAATACCGGTGTTACAATAGAATATTTAAAACAGGTATTTTCATTTTAATTTATTCCCTACATCTCCAAATAACAAGTCTTTGGGTAACATGAAGCCTATCGTTTCCATTAAAAATAACTGACCTAAGAAGGTAGAATTTACCTACTTTCAAAGAGACAGGCTTTAACTATAACGAGGATACTTTATCTCTATTTACTAAGCATTACTTTAAAATATTTTAAGGTCAGGATTATAACTTACTCCACTTGGCTGCAACACTCCCATCTTTAGTGATGTGCCACTCAAATACAGCATTTACTTTCTTCACCACCTCGTGCCCAACATCCTTAAGACGACGGCCTATTTCCTCAAATACCAAGCTACTCTGAAGCTCCTCACCCTAGGAAAAAGAAAATTTAATTTTAAAAGTTATGTAAAAATGAGTCAAGGAGAAAAAGCATTACAAAATATATGTGCATTAAGGTGATTTTTCCAAAATCTACACCTAAATAAGGCAACCTAGTATGTTTTTTCTTTTTACTCCAGACTTCTTTCACACTTTCCTTATATTCAATCATTTCATCCAGAAATTCAGCCCTCTTAATAAGAGGCTTTTACTTTTATCAGAATTCAGAAATAATAGTTGAAAAGTAAATTAGGAAGTAGACAACCTATATCTTAATTAACTTTAACAGGAAGATACAGGGCAAATCAACTTCTGTGGTCTTATTTCTTTATTTATAAAATGGGATTAAGTTATATGAAAACTGAATTTCTAGCTCTAAAACTTCATAAATTTTTTATCTTAGAGTCTTCTTGAGAGAGATTCATTTTCACTCATTTAAGATCATAAGGTAAAGGTATGAAAACACTGACATTACAAAATTAGTATTCTGGAGACAGAGAACATAAACATTTTTATTAAAAGTCTCAGCATGCTAACAGAGAATAACAAAAATGTTTTGCCCTGGCTGGTGTGTCTCGGTTGCTTGGAGTGTCATTCTGTACACAGAAAGGTCACAGGTTTGATTCCAGGCTCGTGCCTAGGTTTCAGGTTCAATCCCCAGTCAGAGCACATATGGTAGGCAACCATTCAATGTTTCTCTCTCACATAAAAAATGTTTTAATAAATAATACCATTGTTTTTATATTTGTATAAAAGCTTTATACAAACCTTTGTATCAAGAAAAGTTTCAGGATATTTAACTTTTTCACCAAAATATTGTTTGCTTGCTATTTCTCATTAAACAATTGATTTAGGTACTCTAAAACTAGAAAATTAATTATTTTATCTTGAAAGATACCCCAGTATCCCCTCCAAAGAATTTTTTTAAATGTACTTGTTGTCAAAAGATTCTTTTTATTCTAAGCAGTTTTGAATCGATGTCTTTTAGTTCAAGAATTAAGAATCTTTCACAACTCTTAATTTTCAAAAGTAGGCTGAACATTCTTAAAGTAATTCAACAGAAATTCATTCAGAAATTAGGAGGTGGCTTGGATACCAATTTTCATAACCTACCTCAGAAGGTGTCTTAGCTAAAACATCAGATGTTGGCACAAGATCCACATATGCATTTGAAATGACGATGTTTCCAGTTTCTTGGGCCTTATAAGGGGTACAAAAAGGAAAAATAAACCAGTTCACTCTGATAATTCCAATGCAAACATTTCATGTGAAATATAAAGTTATTTAAAGAAAATTTACTCTTTTCCCCTCATATAAAAAAGAAAATAATCCAAATTAAATGATAAGTTCATAAATTAAATGTCAAGATGAATAAATATGAAGACTTACTGATTTATTAATACTACTGTTATTAACCTAACTGTAAAATCAACTGGAACCCTTTAAAAAATATGTTTGAGTAGGTCCCATCTCCAAAAATTCCAATTTAAATAATCTGGGGTGCAGCCTGGGCACTGGTACTTGGGGGACTTTTAAAAACACACAATTGTGTGTCTAATGGAAACCAAAATGAGAATTACTGAATTGTTGAAAGGCAGGAGGCATGGCACAATATCCACATGAGGTAGAGGTAATCAAAGTATATTTCTGTTAATACTGGTCTTTTTAAAGTATTAATTCTAATTCTTATTGCAAATAGGAAGTATACATAGCACAAACTAAATGGTTAAGTAGCCTTTTATCAAAATATTCATTACAGGAACTCAAATTCTAATTCTTAATACTTTATATAAAATTATTTCAATGGCTATTCTTTCATAAAATTATGGAACTGCTAGAAATGTATAGGAAAGTATCTAAAAATTAAGGTAGCATTTATCAAAACTGATTTTTAACTATCAAGATCATTATTCTTTGACTACTTCATAAAAAAAGATCTTTCAAATTTGTTCATTTTATTTCAAATTATATCAGCGAAAGGTATGGAAAAAGACAATTTATAAACAAAATACACTTTAGTAAATTACTTTCTTGTAACCAAGCCAAGCATATCATTTGGAACATTAGTTTAAGATGTTTCTTAAAATACAATAGGAAGGAAAGAAAAAAGGGAGGAGGGAGAGAAGGAGGAAGGGAGGAAGGGACAGAGGAATAATTCTTATATATAACTAATAAAAAAGAGCACATCTAATCACTGTATATTAGAGATAATGGTATAGCCTGCTTATAGGAACTCAATAACTGGAAGTTGTTACTATTATTAGTGGTGGTATTTAAGCTACTCAACACAAGTCATCTATGCAATATTGGTACATGATCAGGCCAAAAAGTATCAGCCGGTCAACTGTGTTAACAAAAATGACCTTTAAAACACTTGTAAGTAAAAGGAAGGTTGCATGTCCTTTTAGTATTTTACTGGGGCACTGCTTAACAGCCTCATCCCAAAATTACTTAACTCTATAGGGAAATACACTTTTATTTGTCTTGTTATTTATAATTAGTCTGACTCGTGACATAAAGTGTTACTTTGTGGACTTCTGTGTGATTAAGATACATGTGATTTTTGTCCAGTAGAAACCATAACCATAAAGGATATGGTTTTACTAGAGGCCTGGTGCACGACACTCGTGCACTCGGCGGGGAGGGTTTCCTCAGCCCAACCTGTGCCCGTTAGCAGTCCTGGAGCCCTCGGGGGACGTCTGACTGATGGCTTAGAGCAGTGGTCGGCAAACTGCGGCTCGTGAGCCACATGCCGTTCTTTGGCCCCTTGAGTGTGGCTCTTCCACAAAATACCACATGCGGGCACGCATGTACAGTGCGATTGAAACTTCATGGCCCATGCGCAGAAGTCAGTATTTTGTGGAAGAGCCACACTCAAGGGGCCAAAGAGCTGCATGTGACTCGCGAGCCACAGTTTGCCGACCACTGGCTTAGACCCACTCCCTGCCTAAGCCATCAGTCGGACATCCTTAGCACTGCAGCCCAGCTTGTGGCTGAGTGGTGCTTCCCCTGTGAGAGCACACTGATCACCAGGGGGCAGCTCCTGCATTGAGCGTCTGCCCCCTGGTGGTCAGTGCACATCATAGCAACCAGTCGTTCCGCCGTTCTGTCGATTTGCATATTACCCTTTTATTATATACTAGAGGCCCGCTGCATGAAATTCGTACAAGCATAGGCCTTCCTTCTCCTGGCTGCTAGCACCAGCTTCCCTCTGGCACCCGGGACCCGGGCTTCCCTCCAGCACTTGGAACCCAGGCTTCCCTCTGGCCACCGGCAGGTACCTGGGACCCAAGCTTCCCTTGTAGCCCCAACTTCACCCGGAAGGACGTCTGGTCTAATTAGCATATTATGCTTTTATTTTTATAGAGGATTATTCTTTAGTACATTAACTAGTTTTTTCTCTAAATCAGTAAAATTATTTTAGAATGCATTTCCTATTGGACAACACACTGTTGTTCTAATTCTGTTTTGAACCAGTTTTATCATCTTGCTTATTAGTTCCCTCATTAAGAAATTAAATACATTTATGTTATGTTTTCATTTAAATCTCTCTGAGAACCACGTCTTTAATTTTTTGAAGATTACAATTGGACAACCTAACTGTTTGAGCCAAAAAGATAGGGTTGGTAGCATTTTCAGAACAGCTTTGTCACTGCTACACATACAGGAACCAGTTATCCTATCTAACAAAAGAGAAACATGGTAATTAGCGTACAACCACTACCCTTCCCATTGGCTAATCAGGGCGATATGAAAATTAACTGCCAGCCAAGATGGCAGCCGGCAGCCAGGCAGCTTGAAACTAACATGAGGCTTGCTTGCTTCAGTGACGGAGGAAACCAATGTTCCCCGCCTGCCTTGCCGGCCTCTGAGCTGGCAGTTTGAAACATAGTTACAAATATAGAAGCTAAACAAAACCCCAGAAACCTGCTTTCAGCGACCCGGGATCTCAGAGCTGGAGTTGATACAGTGTTTCAATTATAGAACACAAATAAACCAGATACATGCTTTCAGCAGCAGAGGCCTCAGAGCTGGAGCCAGCGCTAAAGCTGGCCCAGAATAAAAAAAAAAAAAAGAAAAAAAGGAGCAGTTGGGAGCTTCAGTCACCCGCCAGCCTGAAAACAACCCTCAGCCCCTCACCCAGACTGGCCAGGCACCCCAGTGGGGACCCCCACCCTGAAGGGTGTGTGACCAGCTGCAAACAGCTATCATCCCCTCATCCAGGCTGGCCAGGCACCCCAGTGGAGACCCCCGACCCTGATCCAGGACACCCTTCAGGGCAAACCAGCCGGCCTCCACCCGTGCACCAGGCCTCTATCCTATATAGTAAAAGGGTAATATGCCTCCCAGCACCAGGATCAGCAGAGCCAGGAGGCCTCCCGGCACCGGGATCAGCATGACAGGGGGCAGTGCCCAAACCCCCTGACTGCCCTGTGGCTCTATGTGTGACAGGGGGCGGGGCCACAACCTCCCTATCCGCCCTGCTCTGTTCATGACAGGGGAAGGCGCCCCAACCCCCTCATCAGCCCTGCTCTGTGCCTGATAGGGGGAAGCTCCCCAACCCCCTGATCGGCCCTGCTCTGTGTGTGACAGGGTGCAGTGCCCCCCCACCCCACGGGCCCTGCTCTGTGGGTGATAGAGGGTGGCGCCCCAACCTCCCCCTCCCCCCCACGGGCCCTGCTCTGTGTGTGACAGGGTAGAGCCATAACCTCCCCATCGGCCCTGCCCTGAGTGTGACAGTGGTGGCGCCCCAACCCCCTGATCGGCCCTGCTCTGTGGGTGGTAGAGGGCGGCGCCCCAACCCCCTGATCCGCCCTGCTCTGTGTGTGACAGGGGGCGGTGCCCCAACTCCCCTATAGGCCCTACTCTGTGAGTGACAGGGGGGAGCTCCCCAACCCCCTGATTGGCCCTGCTCTGTGCGTGACAGGGGGTGGCACCGCAACCTCCCCATCGACCCTGACTTGAGTGTGACGGGGCGGTGTCCCAACCCCCGAATCGACCCTACCCTGAGCGTGACTGGGGGTGGCATCGCAACCTCTCGATCCGCCCTGCTCTGTGCATGACAGGGGGCGGCGCCCCAACTCCCCAACTGGCCCTGCTCTGAGCCCGACCAGGGGCTGCACCTAGGGATTGGGCCTGCCCTCTGCCACCCAGGAGCAGGCCTAAGCCAGCAGGTCGTTATCTCCCGAAGGGTCCCAGACTGCGAGAGGGCACAGGCCGGGCTGAGGGGACCCCCCCTTCCCCCCAAGTGCACAAATTTTTGTGCACCGGGCCTCTAGTCTATATATATAAAAGCCCAGCACCCAGAATGGCGGAACAACCAGAACAACCGGAACAATAGGTGGCTATGACGCGCATGCGGCAGTCAACCAGCCTGATCCAGGCCCCGATCGGCCCCCAACACCCCGACTGGGGTTGGGGCTGGCCAGCCAACAGCCCACGGCCCCTCCCCTCTGCCATCCCAGCCCAATGGGTCCCTATTGGGGCTGGCCGGCCATACCACACCCGTGCACGAATTTGTGCACCAGACCTCTAGTTAAAAATAAAACAAAATAAAAAACAAGGTACATAGGCATCTTATTTCTAAATAAAAGTTACCACTGATTATACAAAGATTTTATAGGTTTTTGTCTCTTTTTTTGTTTTGGTAATAACCCCCCCGCCAAAAAAAAAAGTTAATATGGAACAAAATTATAGGACAGAGTGAAGAGGGTACAAAATCAATATTCATACCTTGGTTTGGAAATGAATTCTATTTCCTTCCTTCCACATCTCAGTTTTTAGAGTTTGTCCTGGATATACTGGTTTTGCAAAACGAGCCTTCAAAAAAATGAGTTTTGGGGTTGAAAATATTTCAAAATGCAACTTTTCTACTTGTGAGAAAAAATTGTGAGGGAAGTCAAAGAGCATACAAGGAAGAAAAGACAGGTTTTAAAGATAGTTAATCTTATAAAGCAATAAAAATAATATGATAAAATAAGTAGAGAAAGAATATAGTTAATATAAGCCAATTCTTTGTGTTTCAAAGTACAGAGTCAATAAGTAGTGTTTAATCCTGGCAAACCAAGAAACAGAAACATAATTATATTAAGTAGTTCTATGTAGATAACCACTAAAACCGTTAAAATAAAATCAAAAGCATGAGAATAACCAGTATTATCAAAGGCAAGGCATCAAAAAAATGAATTTTCAATATTACATGGAACACAAGCTGATAAAAGCTTTGGGAGCTATTTTATACTGTACTACACTTTTTTAAAAGTGTATCCTTTGACTTACACTTATGCAAAGATATTGTTCAGAGATAGTTTTCTTTGTAATTTATAATGGATGAAAACTTGAAACCACTTAAAAGTACAAAAACTAAATGCTACCATCATATTGATGTAGGTGTATGTTTATTAGAGTTCAAATGCAGCCATTTAACATTTTCAATTAAATTAATGTCAAATTACAAAACAGTGAAAAAAATTTTAAGGTGAATCTCAAGTTTTTCTTAAAGCATATATACTAATATATGTATGCAAATTATTTTATAAAACAATCTGATTAATATGTTAAAAATTATAACTGTATATGATACCCTTACATGAAAAATGTGTAATAGAGGTAGTTTTAGCTACAAAGAGAAAATGTGTTAACTGCCAAGTCAATGTAATAAAAATGTTTATTACTTCAGTACAGTACTTATTTTTTAAAAAGTCTCTAAAACTTGTTTTTTTCTCTAAAAATGAAAAAAAAGCATAACTAATGTTCAAATTATGCAATAATATGCGTGTACCTTAATTGCCTTAAATCTTGACACGTCACTGTCTGCAAACTGCTGCAAAACATGCCTGGCAGAAAATCCAAATGTACATAATCCATGTAATATGGGCTTGTTGAAACCTACAAAGAGAGTTTAGCTAGATATGTACACATTTCATGTTTAAAAACCAAGCATAATTTAGGATTTCAAAAACATAATCTTCAAACTACATTAGAATGAATTATACCTTCTATTTTAAGCAACATGGAAAATATTCTATAAATAATACCTCCTGGATGAAAATTGTGAAATAAAGAAAAAAATAAGGAATGTTAGAGATACGGGAACACAAAGCATTGTTTTGTTTAGCTTGGTTATAACCACAAAATCATCCATGATGATTTCAATATCCATGTATATAGATAATCTTTCCCTAAACCTTTTAGTTTCTTGCTCTCTCCTCCAATGACCTTGACCTTAATGATAACTCAGACACTAACTCACATGGTCCTATCCTAGACCTTGCACTAGCAGGAGCTTCCTTCCACCATAATCTCAATTTCAAGTACACCATTTTCGGAACACTATTCCTACCTTTCAATATCCTTTGCATAAAAGTATTATGAGAGGGCTATTTTTAAAATGTTACTTAAACTACAAGTCATAGTAGCAATGTCTTTAAGTCTTATTTAGATAACTGAGCTAATATTTTTTTCATTGGCACGTATTTTAGCAACTCACCTGCTAAACCAGCAAAGTTAGGATCAATATGTAATGGATTCCAGTCACCACTGAGGCGGTACAGAGCAGCCTGTGCAGAGAAGAATTATAAATGTAACTAGTTTCCAGTGCTTTCTTAGAACACATTAAAAGAAAAACAGGAAATAGGGCTGGTTATTGTATATGAAATGCATTATAATGTACCTAATTGAAGCTTTGATTAAAATATAACTATTTCTAGCCCAAGCTGGTTTGGCTCAGTGGATAGAGCATCCGCCTGTGGACTGAAGGGTCCCAGGTTCAATTCCAGTCAAGGGCACATGCCCAGGTTGCGGGCTCGATCGCCAGCAGGGGGTGTACAAGAGGCAGCCAATCAATGATTCTCTGTCATCACTGATGTTTCTATCACTCTCTCCCTCTCCCTTCCTCTCTGAAACCAATAAAAATATATATTTTTTAAAAAACAAATAACTATTTCTAACAAAAAAAATTAATTCTACAGCAAATTTTTGTAACACCTGACATTGAAATCAGTTGAGAAGGATTGTCAAATAATAAGAAGGGGTGCCAAGAACTATATCTATAACACTCTTTACCACTACTTAAGAAGAAATTCACAAAAAGAAATCCATCAATCTACTCTCATTAAAACACAATAAAGATAAGGTAAATGTTTACAGCCTTTTCTAACAAAGCAAAATGTATGCCAACCTTCTAAACAGAGTGTTTTAAATCAAATGCAAAATGGTCAGGAATCTCTGACAAACGATGAGAGCTCATTATTTATACAAAAAATATTTGTCAACTTAATATTTGTCATGCAGCAAAATAGCCAACGCTGCTAAAAGCTAACAAAAAGTTCTACTCGTCTGAAAAAGTAAAAGAAGAAAAATTCCTCTACTGTGTGTAGAAATTCAAGCCTTGGAAACTATTTAGTTTTTCTTATCTAAAGCAGATACATTTTATTATTTCAGTAACCCAAGAATAATAAAAGAGCATTTGTGGTTTTTCTGCACTGTGAAACCTTAAAGCTTTTCTGTTCTTTAGTGCCCTAAAAAAATTGATTTCACTATGAAGCTTTAATTGAACATTCTTAAGAAATTGATTAGAAACAGACATTACAGAAACATTTAAAGGCAAAAACTAATTTGAAGAAAAAAAATATTGTTCTCTCCATCATCCGATTATATAGTGCAGAAAAAAAAAATACAATTATGTACCAACCTTAATTCTTTCTGGCTCATGAAATTGTATTTCTATCTGCCAGAAAACATAAATCCTGAAGAAGTGCTCATATCCAGTATATCAAAATTAGCATCAAAAAGTAGAGAACTTTATAAATAATTTGCTGTCATTACATGCTCATTCACAGCATAACTTCGGAGCTTTGCCTATTCTATTGTATCTCTGCATGGTTAGTCTCCGGGCCACTACAGAGAAGAATCTTCAGGTCTCCCAAAAACAAAGTTGTTTTTCTCCTCTTTGTGGCTACTTTTTGTTTCTTAAATAAATCTTTACATGCTCACAGAATTTGTTACCTGATAAGGCATTTTATATCTACCATCAGAGAACAAATTATTTATGTCAAACAAAAGAGATTAAATCACCTACCCCTTCTAAGATGCTTTATTTTGCCTGTCTGCTAAAGTTAGAATAATATAATCTGATTCCAACCAATGCAGCTCAGCTTCCCTTCCCAAAGGAGAAAAGGATGACTAAAATTTGCCTTTTTATTCTTTCTATCCTGCCCTCTAAAGCTCTTATGAAATTCTTCACTGGTAAGCATGGCAGTCTTCCTAAGGCAAGCGCTCCATCGCCAACAAAGCACGATGCTCTTTGAAGAGACTAAGGAAAAGCCATTTTATATTATATTTTGATACCTAGTAAAGAAAAAATTGGTAAGTAAAAATTTAGAAAGAATGAATTCTAACCAAACAAGTATTTTATATATTTTTTATTATGTTGAAGGACACAGGCACTACTTTTAGGCTCAGAAAATTATAAGGTGTCAAGAGTTATAAATTAAAAAGTGTCAGCAGTCAGGTGGATTTAACACTTTAAAAAAATACAATCTTACCTGATTAAGTGAGGTGGTGTCTGTAAGTACAGCATCAGGATGTCTATTAGGTATGGCTACAGCTTCCTGAAATAAAGAAAAATATTGTATGTTAAATACCAACAAAGTAACTTTTATTCTCTTAACCCAAACCGGTATTTGATAACCAACTATGTTTTAATATAATAAAATCTGCAAGTTGGATAACAAGTTTTTTTTTTAATACTTTATGTTCAGGAGATAATGTTTACAATTTCATGACTGCTAGCTTCCTCTACATTATGATTTCCCTGTTTAATGAAAGGAGTTATATAACCAGATCCATTCTCTAGACCACGGAGAAGAAAAAGGTAAAGATTGTTTTCCAAATGCAAAAGATGAGGATAGATATAAAAATTAGACAATTCACATCTAAACTGATTTAATCTTTAAATGCACTTTACTAAGAGTATAGATCTCTTTGCATTTATAGCCTATTTGGAGTTGGTTGAACTTCTTGGATGTGTAGATTGTTTTTCATCAAAGGCATTATTCCTTCAATTATTTTTTTCTGCTTCTTTCCCTCCTCTCATTCTGCTCCTCCCACTACTTGACCGTATTCCATGTTTCTCTGAGGCTTTTCATTCCTTTTTTCCCTTCACCTTTTTCTGTTCTTCTGACACATACTCATAGATAGGTGGAATAGATAGATCTTCAACCTTTTTGATTCTTTCTTTTGCCAGTTCAAATCTACTGTTGAGACCCTCTAGTAAATTCCTCATCGCAGTTATTGTACTTTCAGCTGCTGAACTTCTATTTGGTTCTTTTTTTATATATTTTCTATTTATTGACTTTTCTCTACTTGATGAATCATGTCATCATACATTACTTCTACTAGCAGGGTTTACTTTAGTTCTCTGAATATATAATAGCTGCTCTGAAGTCTCTATCTGTTATTAAATCCTCTCAGGTGATTTCTGTTGCCAGTTTTATTTTGCTTTGTTTTTCTTATCCATGGGTCATACTCTCCTGTTTCTTTCATGTCCTATTTTTCTGCTGATAACTGGACATTTTAGATTACGTATTGTAGTAACTCTGGATACTAATCACCCTCCCCTTCACAGCTTGTTATTATTAACGTGTTAATTATTTAATGACTTGGCTAAATTATTTTAGTTAAGTCTATTTCTCCCAGAGTGTGCAGCCCTGATGTTGCTCCTCAGAGGGTGCAGCTTGCCCTGGGGTGACAGTGGTTTTAGTAGGGCTCTCTATGCTAAACTGTCTGCCTCTTTTGGAATCACACCCAGCTGATGGGCTCCACTGGCTGCTAGATGACTGCTCTATTATTTTCAACAATGCTTTGGGGCACAAATTGCTCCAAGGTCTGATCCAATTACAGTCAGGCGTCTTTACAGGGGTAGTTAGTCTTTGGGGCCAGTCTTAGAGATGTGAACCCATGAGGACTCCACTAAGCTGTCTCATTCTGTGGTTCTCTCTAGTACTCTTCCACTAGGGCAGAGGGATCTGGGTCTTGGCTGCACCTGCCTGAAGTGAAGCTTCTACCACACTGAACCAGGGAGAGAAAGGAAGGAGAGAATCATGGCTCAAATGCCAGATTCTCACTGTTCTTACCAAGATAGAGATTTTGAATAGATATTTCTTCATTTGCTAATTCCCTTAAAACAATTCCCAGAAACTTTAAACTTTCTTTTTTTTTTACATAATTTTTACCAGTTATGATTGTTTCACTGGGGAAAGGGTCAAAGGAACTCGCACACCATCATTCCAGAAGCAGTCTGTCAATGTTGCTTTAATAATACTTTATCTATTCCAGAAGAATATTTATTACAGTATAACTTTATTACCTCACATAAATTAGAAGTCTAGGTTAAATTAGTATGAAATACAAGTTCTAAAACATTTTAAAATAAATATGTTTTTAAATAGAATTTGAGGACTAGAGAATAACTAGAATTGTCTTATATAAGAGAAATGCTAAAGCCATTTAATGAATGAATATTTTAATTTCCACAAGAGTCTCTTGTATGTGTTAAGCTTTTCTAAAGACTTTTGGGTGCTACAAAGTTTGTATAAGAAAGTAAAAGCATACCCATAATTATCTCAGGTACATTATACTTATCTCAGCCAGACTTTGCTATATGTAACGTATATTATATATTAAACTATACAAACATAAACAGCATTTCAAATCCAAGGAACATATGCTGATTCAAAGAAGTGTGGATTACTGAGCCTCTACTACATGAAATTACACACGTGGTAAAATGGTAAATTTAAGATACAGATCAGGATCCTTAACTACACATATACTTTACTTATAAAGTCATAGTCTACCTTGACTTTATCTGAAGTCCGTTTTCCACCAATGCCTCCAGAGCCAACAAGGAATAGGGAGAACTGATTATAACATATAAGTTCCTTCCCAGAATAAGAATAGACTGAAAAGTAAATGAAAAAAAATGCTTTAAGTTGTCAAAAGACATAACTAATTAACCAATATATGATCAACAATTCCTTTAAAAGTTAAAAAACAAAATCCAATTATTGAAAGGTTTTATAATTTAAAGATGTCTAAGCTTGGTTACGAGACATTCATTTTAATTCACCAGTTTCTGGAAGACAGACAGAAGAGGATGTTCACCAACCCTTACTTGACTATAAAATAGTAGATTCTCTCCCCTCTTTCTAAACCTTCTCAACTTTCATAGTTAATTCGTTCCACCTCAAACATTTCAAGCAATCCCTCTATAAAGCGCAGGTAACCTCACACTCAGACTTTCACACATTCTGCCAAAGCACTCAAAAAGAGCCTGAAATGTAAAAGAGGAAATAAGTGAGACTGAAAGTATAAGCTGCAGGAGGGAGGGATCATGGTTATTTTGCTCATCATCATATTCCCAGCAATTAGAATAGTACCTGGGACCAAAAGAGGCACCTGATAATGTTTATTAAATTAATTAACGATTCAATGACTAAATGACAAGTGAGCAAGTTAGTAAACAGGTAAGCAAGTAATAAATAAATGTAAGACAGCTGTCCCTCTTTCTACTGACTCATTTCCTACTGAGAGTTTAAGTATTATCTGTGTTTCTAGCTCTAGAAAACTAGGAACATGATTTTGAACTGCATTAAAGAAAAAATCCAATTATAACAAAAAATAAAAAGGTCATAGTAATTTGTATTTATTTATTTTTTTTTAAATATATTTTATTGATTTTTTACAGAGAGAAAGGGAGAGAGATAGAGAGTCAGAAACATCGATGAGAGAGAAACATCGATCAGCTGCCTCCCGCACATCTCCTACTGGGGATATGCCCGCAACCCAGGTACATGCCCCCGACCGGAATCGAACCCGGGACCCTTCAGTCTGCAGGCCATCGCTCTATCCACTGAGCCAAACCGGTTTCGGCAAGTAATTTGTATTTAAAATAAAAATTTTTGTTTATTAAATAAGAAACTGGATATTCTATTTCATTTATACTTATCTACAAATTCTAATACATTATTACATATTACCAAGCTATAGTTAAATAAATGGAGTCAGTCAAGAGAAAATAGTAAAAATTAAAGCTAAGGTTACTGCAGAATTTTTGTGGTATATTACATTTGGTAGGATGGCGAGAAGACTAAAAGATAACTGGGGGAATTACAGCCAAATACTGGCCAACATCTGGAATGACAATAAAATATGAAAATCTAAAAAAGAGAAATAGAGGAAGAAAGAGAGGAAGGGGAAAAGGAAAGATAATCAACATATGATGACATACTGAGTTGACAAAAACAATGTAGTAGAGTATTTAAGAGCATCAAAATGTTCTCAATATATTATTAAGTAAAAACAAGGCAAGTCCAAAACAGCAAATACAGTATAACCTCCTATGTGTTTAGAACAAAAATGGTACCGCCTATATTCCAAATATCAGATAATATTAAACTTTCTGCTGTCCTTTATTCCCAAAAATTTTTGACAATAAATATTTATTTTGTTCTTAAACTTTAAAATAAATAAATTTTAAGCAGTGTTATCTGTAGCTTATGTTTAATTATTAGTATTTCAACATTTATTAAACTACTATAATCTTTTTTCCACTACAAATAAGATGTGGCTATAATGTTTAAACCCCATTATGAGTTCAATAGGCTTGAAAGTGCAAGTTTAGGGACCAAACCCCATTTAGAAGAGTGATCCAGGGGTCAAATATGTTCCAAGTTCCAAAGAGCTAACAAAGAAAACAATTTCTACAATATCGCCTAATTACCAACAGAGGGCTGTCTATGGATTCCTTCCTGTACAAAACTAACTCCAGCAAGTATGATTCTCCTTATGTTCTCCAAACCAGCCACAGTCCTCCCGTGTTTTGTTTGCATCTTCTCAAATTCCCTGAAGGGGCCCGCTCTCCCTACCCTTATCCTAATCTACTCCTTCCTACCCTTCTTCCTTATTTTCTAAAACAGCTTCTTACTAATCACTTTTATGGTGAAGTACTATGTTACATATAAAACCTATCAATCTAACAATATTATTATAAGAACTGGAAATTAGTTACCATCGATAAGAATTACTAAACCGGATCCTTTATCTAAGACATCAGCAACAACTGTTTCATTCCTTAATGTTCCTAAAATGAAAAGTAAAATAAATAAATAGACTGTTTTAAAGACCATAAGTAAGTAGACTGTGTTAAAAATAATAAGTTATTATATTAAGACATGAGAGAATTTAACATAATTTCCACTATTATAAATTCAGCAAAACTAAAAATTATAATTTAAATTATTTTCATTATAACGTTAAATAATTCAACATTAGAGGCAGTCAGAACACTTGAGTCACTAAACTTGAATCAGTAATTCTGATAAATTAGGTTTTAAGAAATAATACTTTTCAATCATTCAACAAACATTTGTTAAAGATATGAACAGTGCCATTTACAACATTCCTTCTCAAATCTCTACTCTATTGGCTTCAATGAGACTGTTTCTCTCTAATCACTCTGTACTTTTACAGACTCTTCTTTCCATCACGGCAATGTCTTGATGGATCATCATTGTCTGGGGGTGAACTCATCTTTTTCTCAAACCTGCTTTTCTCTTTTGTTCCCTATGTAAATGAATGGTACTACCCACCAAGGTGCGCAAGCCAGAAACTTGAGCATCACCCCTGACTCACAGAGTCTAAGTAGTGTCTACACTTGAGTATGCGGAGAATGGTAGAAGATGGATTCTACTAAAATTTTGTACTTCATCCTTAAGTCTGGGGTTTTAATAGGGAAGTTACAAACACATCTGCATTGCAGAAATAACATTACGGCTGCAATGAGGTGAATAAATCTCAAGGGAACAAGACAGAGAGAATACTTAAGAGAACAGGAGAAAATGGCCAGTGGTTCTCAACCTTCCTAATGCCGCGACCCTTTAATATAGTTCTTCATGTTGTGGTGACCCCCAACCATAAAATTATTTTCGTTGCTACTTCATAAATGTAATTTTGCTACTGTTATGAATCGTAATGTAAATATCTGATATGCAGGATGTATTTCAGGGGTCGCGACCCACAGTTTGAGAACCGCTATTAAGACTAAACCAAGAAGTAGAAGTGGAGGTGGGCAGAAATAGGATTCAGATGTACCAAAGGGAGAGGACCAACGAACTTGGTAAGTGTCTGGATGTGAAAGGTGGTAAAAGAGACGCCAAGGATGACATCCAGATTTCTCACTTTTCTAAATCTCTCTGACCCACCCACTTGTTTCCATCCTTCTACCACCTTAGTGCAAGCTACCATCATTTCATCTGAAGTACCACTACAGACTTTTAATGAGGTGCCTGCACATCCACTCTGACCAACTTTAAAACATGCTCCATACATGTCAGGTGATTTTTTCACAAAGTCAAATCTGACAATGTAATAAAGTGCTTTTCCCAACACCACCACTATCTCTCCCCACCAGTCCCATAAATATAAAATTGTGATAAATACAAAATTCCCTAACATGATCTGTGTGATACTATTCCCTGCTACCACCACCAGGCTCCGGCCACCCTGGCCTTCCTTACTCCTCCATTATCTATGCTTCTCATATTTCAAGAGCCTTTACACAGGCCCTTGGATGTCTGGAAAGCTCTTTCCTTCCTTCTTTGCCTCACTTCATACCTAGCTGAAATCTTCCTTTAAAATCTCTCTTCATATCAGTTCCTTAGAGAACACTTTCATTACCAACCCAATAATGTCCAAACCTTCTATTTTAAGTTCTAATGGTATCATGTATGTTTCACCTATAATGTTTATTACAAGTAGTTACAGGTAATATAATGTAATAACAGGTGATTTTGATGTGCAGCCAGATTACAAAATTATCTAAAACCGAATACTGCGCCTTACAGCAGATATTTGATAAACACAATCACCACATACTGTGCACTACAACTGATAAAAAGGACTGTGTGAAACTTAAGCTGTACCACTAACACTGAAAAAAAGCTACTCAGCCTTAAGCAATAAGAATCTCATCATTTCTTTAGTAAAATAAGAATACTGAGGAAAGAGTTAAAGTAGGATTCTAGCTACTTGTTGACTTCTACATTATATAAAGTGAAATGAACAAGTAAGATATTATTGAGAAAAATAGATGATTAAAGATACAAAAAATTCTGTATCTTTTAACATGGTCTGCTTTATGAAAATCAGCACCAATATAAATACCTGAGAAAAGAATGAAGAACCATGTTAATAGGAATCATAACTGATTGTACACAATCACCATGTTAGAACACATGCACAAAAATGTTCCTTTCATTTGTTAATAACACATACATCAACAGAAATAAATTATTAGCATTTTGAAGTAATTTACTAAAGGAAATTATTAAAGGACAAAGTTTAAGGTAATCAAAACAGGTACTAGTTAATAGCAACCTAGTCTAATCGCTGACAAGCGCATAAATAACTTGTGATAAGCTTTATTTAGGTCTCTCTATGCCAATTTAACACACTGACACAGTTTGGAAGGTTAGTTAAAAAAATAAAATTATGATGTGGTTACAGGAATCAGTATATCAAGAACTCACCTGTTCTGGGAAGTGGTTTATACAACTCCAAGTACTGCTCCCCATGAAGAATCTATGTTAGGATAAGCAAAGTTTTATTAGCAGACTTTCTTTTTCCACAGGTATTGTCTGTGGATATTACTATCCAAAAGTGACATTTCACTGTCCACATGCTCACATCACTACTTCCCCCAAATTAATTGTCTCAGTTTGGCTCCTACTTCTTAAACACATGATTCAGAAATAATCAGTCCCCCAATCTAAAAACTGTCTTTTGGAACAGAGAAGATATCTTATATTTGTGTTTTCTTGACATTCACAAATCCCTGTTGACTGATAACTATGGATTATTTGCCAGTGGAGACACTAAACTAAGCTGTACTTCCAGTGCCTGTAATATAGTGGGTCTCCAACACATATCTATTGAATGAAAATGAATTGGCAACCGCTAGTAACTTCAGGTCACACATACCAAATACAAACAACTCAACCAAAACACACACATAAACCTTCAAAACTATCTATAATAATCAAACCATAATATGCTAATTAGACCGGACATCCTTCCAGACGCCCTTCCAGACGAAGCCGGGGCTGTGAGGGAAGCCTGGGTCCCGAGTGCCAGAGAGAAGCCGGTGCCAGCAGCCGGAAGAAGGAAGGCCTAGTCTTGCACGAGTTTCATGTGTCGGGCCTCTAGTGTTCAAAATTAAAGTACTACCAATGCCGATATTTCCTTAGTATAATATCTTATAAATTATCTACAAAGAGTAGATACTAAGGACACTGTAACTTCATAGCCACTTAACCTCCAAATATATGTAGGAAAACAATAGGACAGGAAAAACAAAACCTGGCCCACATATTCCAAAGGCCACATTCCACTGCCATGGGACAGCTTAATTCCCAGTCTTCCTCAGAACCCAGAAGAGGAAAAAGGGTTAGGTGGTTGGCAGTGCTGGGAGGACAAATGAAGGATGCCTTACTGTATCATAAGGCCTGGAAACTCAAGGCTGGGAAGACTGGGATTCAAATGCCAAGACAGCCCTAGCTGGTTTGGCTCAGTGGACAGAGCATCGGTCTGTGGACTGAAGAGTCCCGGGTTCAAGGGCACATACCTCAGTTGCAGGCTCCTCCTCGGCCTGGGCCCTGGTCAGGGCATGTGGAGAAGGCAACCAACCGATGTGTTTCTTTCACATCAATATTTCTCTCTTTCTCTCTCTCTTCCACTCTCTCTAAAACTCAATGGAAAAATATCCTTGGGTAAGGATTACAAAATAAAAAATAAAAAAAGAATGCCAAGACAGCTATCATTCCAGGCTACAGGTTTTGAACACCATTTCTGATTTCCAATTCCTTTCAACCCTGAGGGACAATTCTGAAACATGTTTTGTTTGCTCTTACATTAAGCAAACAGAAGAACTGTTTGCAGCAGTTACCACGGGAGAGTGACTAAAACAGCAAACTGCTTGGCACACATTTCTCAACCCCCTCCCAACTTCATGAACTACTCTTAATAAAATAAGGGTATTCTCCTAAGTTCAACACAGCAATGGGATAATGGAACCTCCAGTAAATGGGTTCTCCAATCAAGGAGTTGCAGAAATGGTCTCATAGCACTGATTCAACAATTATCACTAGGCTCATTCTAAACCTTAATCCAAGGATTAAAATAAACCCCACCTCAAAAGCTTTCTCACAGTTGTTCACGCCTTCCTTTTTGAAACAATTTATTCACTTTGCTTTCCAAATACCATATTCTCCTGATATTCCTCATAACTCATACCTTACCAGCCATTCCCATGCAGTCTCTCTAATTTCTCCTCGTCTTTTCAACCACTAAACACTGCAGGGTCCCTAAACTCAAGATCTTCTCTACATATACTCACACATTAGGTAATTTCATGTCTTTAAATATCACTTAAATGCTACAAACCCCAATTAGACCTTACCCCCAAACTCTAGATTCATATGTTCAACTGCCCACTTTTTAACTCCACCTGCATGTATGATAGGCATCTCAAATCTGTTGGAAAACAACTAATTAACCCCACCTTAAAGTAACTACATATATCTATTTTATTAGACATAGTAATGTCATATGTAATTACTATACATATTAAATATGTTATATATAATTAATTATAAATAATATATATACAGGGTGGGACAAAAATAGGTGTACAGTTGTAAGTGAAACAGAGCTTATTCTTATATTGTTATTTACTAATTATTGTATTATTTTTCATATGAATAACTGTAAACCTACTTTTGCCCCACCTGTATATTATCATCCCAGTTGTCCAGACTACAAACCTTTATCCTTGACTTCTTTTTTCCACCCTCATATCCAGCCTTTTGCTTGAATTATTATAGTAGGCTCCTAACTGGTTTCCATGCTTCCATGCTTGGCTCCCATATAATTTATTCTTCACACAGTAGCGAAAATGAGCCTGTGAGTGAACACTGCCAGCTCATATCACCCCTCAGTTCAAAGTGCTACTAATGTCCCTACTCATTACTCAAGAGTATAAACTGAAATCCTTACAATGACTACAAGGTTCTCTTCTTCCACCACTGCTGCCTTCTCACTCTACAGCGACACTGGCCCCCTTGCTCACTCTACAGCTATATTGACCCCTTTGCTGTTCCAAAAATAAGCCAAGTATGCACCTGCCTCAGGGCCTTTTACACTTGTGTTTTCTGCCTCAAATACTCTTCCATGGGATAATTGCCTGGCTTGCTCCTTCCCCAATATCACCAGATAATGATGAACATATCCACTTTACAGATAAGAAAACAAGCTTTGAGAAGTTATTTACCCTTGGTCAGATAGCAAGTAAATAGCAGAGAGAGAATTAATAATATTATGTCAAGGTTATGGGAGTGAACATGACTGCTTCTTCTTTTTGTTTGCCTTTTCAACTACTAACCCTTTTCTCTGTTATTCTTAAAAAGAATATCAAAGGATATGCTAACTATCCCTGAATCAACCATTATAAACTGTTTTACTAATATACACGCACACATAAGGTATGATATTTATCAACCATATTTAAAGAAACAGAAAAAAAAAAACAAATAAAGGTTTCTTATTATGCATACCTTTGCTAAGTCAATTGAAAGCCCAGGAATCTCTACTAAGTCTCCACTCATTACAGATTTCTGAGCTATAACAACTCCAAAGGTAGGCAAACAGGAGAAGTCAGAATGTCCTTCATAAATAAACTTCAAATCCTTTGGTTCCTTGACCGATGCTCCCACTCCGAGAGCATACATAATAGTTTCCAGTTCCGTGTAGGCAGAAGAAAATGAAGGAAGCTTGTGGCCAACAGCTTCACCCTAGGGGGCAATTGTAGGAAATGATTTTTGCACTCATCTTTAAAATTTCAATTTTTCAAAACTATTCATTGCTTACATACCTACTTTTGTTTTTGGAAAGATGTGATTAAAATATTATTTTAATGAATTTAATGGAGTATTATAATTATTTCATGATATTTTTTTTTTTTTAAATAGAAACCAATTAGATAATGTGTGGAAAAGGACTGCATTTACAGGTAATTACATTTTTATTACTTGCTAACAGTTAGTATGTCTCGTTTTAAATTTTCCTATCTTTGAAGCTGGAAAGCCCTGTTAACTCAGCCACTATTAGCTACCCAAAAATAAGAAATTAAATTTAAAAAACCACATATTTATTATAAGTAGGAATAGTGAACTGCCCTATAATATCTATTACATAAAAATTCACTGTAAACAGATGAGCAAAATACTGCTTAATGCTTGTAAATTAGAATGCCTCATTATGGCTTTACGTGAAATGAGATTTTACCTGAAGTTCCTTCCTAGGAATGTACCTTATCTAAATGGATGTTGTAGTTTTCTATTTAGTGATGATATGCCTAGCTAATATGTAAAGCATATATTAGGTTATAAAAGAATGATGCCCAATTTTCAATCACTCCTTCTAAAGCAGGAGTCTTCAAACAATGCTGAGAGCTAAAAATGGTTTTTACATTTTTTCGGTGGTTAAAAAAAAAAGAAAATCAAGAAGAGCATGTGTTAGAAATAGTATCTGGTCCAGAAAGTCTAAAATATTTTATTATCTGGCCCTTTACTAAAGAAGTTTGCCAACTCCTATCCTGAAGTAAAAGCACACTTATAAACTGATCATCTTCTCAGCGTTAAAATTAGATGGTTAATTTTATCACTATGTCTGTCCTGAGTCACAAAACACCAAAATCACATGTGTCAAACAATTTACTTCTTACTATTTATGCATTACAAGTTTTTTTTTTAAAGGATGAGTACAAGAGATTATAAATCTGCAAACTTCATGAGCTATAATCACAATTCTATTAGAATTTGACACAATGCGAGGCTTTTTACTTGCAGCCATGCTGAAACATTTCTAAAAATACATACATCCTATCAAAGCTTTCCCTTACAAGAAATGACTCAGAAGAGGCACTATATAAATTAGCCTTTTCTAATAAGTTAGAAAAATAGTGACTAACATAGGATTATCAATGCTTCTGGGGGGGGAAAGACACCTAGTTATACTGAAGAAGAGAAAGTAAAGGTTACATTTAATATTTTAGCCTTGTGTTCAAATTTTATAAATATTTAGTAAATATTTTAAGAAAAGTTTTCTGGTCACTTATCTTTCCTATTAAACAACAGATGAATAGCTTGGAAAATATGTTTTGTATGAAACAAAAGAAAAAAGAGCAGGAAAAGGTCTCCCAAGAAGGCACAGCTTTAGGCATTTTTCCCCACTTACAGATCCTGAGGTGGCTTTTGATGATGCCGCATGGCTGGTATGATTTGCTGAAACTCCTCCATCTGAATCTATTTTACTTAGAACTCCGATTATACTGCCAGTTGATTCTAAAAAATAACAACAATAATAATGCCTTTGTTAAAGATGTGACTAAAGAAAGCTACAATGTGCTACATCAGCAACTTTAAACCTTTTTCATCTCATGGCACACAAAATCTCATTACTAAAATTCTGCGGCACACTAAAAATATACTTTTTGCCAATCTGACAAAAAAAAAAAATGGGTATAATTTTGATTCTTTTATACCAAACGGCTATTGTTGTGTTGGTTGTTGTCATTTTTTGAAAGTCTAAGGGTAAAGAGGTCAATACTTTAAAAATTCTTGAGGAACATCAGTGTGCCTGCTGTGGCACACTGGTTGAAAATCACTGTGCTAGATAATTTTTCCTATAACGTTCAGCAAGTCTGCTGCAGACTCTAGACTGGCACTCATGAACTGAATGTATAATGTCAGGCTATTATGGGAAAAAGTTGTGAAAGACTTTGAAATAGACTACAGATAACTGGGTGTTTTCAACTGAAAACAAGACACTGTCCAACATGCTCTTCGCAGGTTATGACCCTAAGGAGGCTCTGAGCTTTGCAATGTCTTTGAACAATTTTACAACTCTGTAAAGCGGGATCCACAGACATGCAATTTCTGTTTGGTGGAGGGACAACTAATTTCCCTTCTCTGACCACCATCACCCTTTCCCCAGGATCAAATAATGCCAAGATTACCCCTAGGTCCCTGTTCAAGGAGTAGCTCTGAAGATAGTACTAAAAATTCTTCCAGACAAAACGGTCATTCTGACCAGTGCCTCCACACAGGTTTTGGAAACTGCTATTCTGGGGTCTTAAGGTTAATAAAGAAGAATCATGGAGCAACCACATATGCCATACGATTCCAAAGGCACTGGGACCTTCCCTAACAAACGTTATGGGCCTCCTTCTAAACTCAGAGAAAAACTACAACCAAACTACAGAATGTGAGAGGACCGGGGACATCTGCCCCTCCTGGTGACACTAATGGAGAGGATTTTTCCTACTAGTCCTATACTTTCTTCCCCACTCAGACTGCCGCCTAGAGGGGGCTATTTAACTGAAAGTCACCTTAATGAAGCTGGAAGTACCACACTCAGAGTGAGACAACCTGAGTTAACTCATGGCTCAAACACTGAGAAAGCTTGGAACATTTATTTAGTTTTTCTGGGATTTAGTTCATCATCTATAAAATGAGAAGTGGTATAGGTAGGTGCTCTAGACCAGCGGTCGCCAACCTTTCAGACCTCATGGACCACCAGTGGTCCTGTGAACCACCGATTGGCAACCGTTGCTCCAAAGGTTTCCTTAAACCAGTGGTCGCCAACCTTTTGGACCTCATGGACCACCAGTGGTCTGCAGACTATCAGCTGGCGACCACTGCTCTAGAGGGTCTCAATTCTATTAAAAATGTGAAATTTTTTCTTCTACCTGTACTTCAAATACAAGACATAGCTTGCAATCTATCCTATCTAATAATAGACAAACATGGTAATTAACCATACCTCTGACACACTTCCTATAGGCTAATCAGGGCGATATGCAAATTAACTGCCAACCAAGATGGCAGCCAGCAGCCAGGCAGCTGAAGTGAACAGGAGTCTTGCTTGCTCCAGTGATGGAGGAAGCCAAGGTTCCCCGCCTGCCGCTGCCAGCCTCTGAGCTGCACTCTAAGCAACAATGTTGCAATTATAGAAGCTAAACCATCCCCAGAAACCTGCTTTCAGCCAGCCGGGAACTCAGAGCTGGAGTTGCAACAGTATTACAATTATAGAACCCAAACTAAGCCAGATCAGCAGCCGAGGTCTCAGAGCTGGAGCTGAGCCTCAGAGCTAAAGCCGGCTCTCAGTGCCAGTGACAGCCATAGAAGGTAAATAAATCCCAGAATAAAAAAAAAAAAAAGAAAAAAAAAAAAAAAACAGAAAAAAAGGAGAGGTTGGGAGCTTCAGTCACCCGCCAGCCTGAAAATGGCCCTCAGCCCCTCACCCAGACTGGCCAGGCACCCCAGTGGGGACCCCCACCCTGAAGGATTGTGACCAGCTGCAAACAGCCATCATCCCCTCATCCAGGCTGGCCAGGCACCCAAGCGGGACCCCCACCTTGATCCGGGACACCCTTCAGGGCAAACCAGCCGGCCCCCACCCGTGCACCAGGCCTCTATCCTATATAATAAAAGGGTAATATGAAAACTGACCCTAACAGCAGAAAGACTGGGAATGACTATGACACACACTGACCACCAGGGGGCAGACGCTCAATGCAGGAGCTGCCCTCTGGTGGTCAGGGTGCTCTCACATGGGAGAAGCTCTGCTGAGCCACAAGCCAGGCTGATGGCTGTCAGCACAGTGGTGGTGGTGGGAGCCTCTCCTGCCTCCTCAGCAGCGCTAAGGATGTCCGATTGCAGTTTAGGCCTGCTCCCCGCTGGCAAGTGGACATCCCCCGAGGGCTGCTGGGCTGCCAGAGGGCTGTCTGATTGCCATCTTAGGCCCAATCCCCCGGGGAGTGGGCCTAAGCCAGCAGGTGGTCATCCTCTGAGGGGTACCAGACTGCGAGAGGGCACAGGCCAGGCTGAGGAACCCCCCCTCCCTGCCAAGTGCACAATTTTTTGTGCACCGGGCCTCCAGTATATATATAAAAGGCTAATATGCAAAGTGTCCCCCAGGAGTTCAACCGGGAGACAGGGAGTACGATTGCTTGCTATGATGTGTGCTGACCACCAGGGGTCGGTGCGGAACGAAGGAAGGCCCTGGCCAGCAGCCAGCAGACAGGGAAGGAAGGCCCCAGCTGGCAGCCAGAAGGCCCCAACTGGCCCTGATCCTTGGCCAGGCCTAGGGACCCTACCCGTGCACAAATTTCATGCGCCAGGCCTCTAGTTTATAATAACATAATTCATTTAGTTAGCTTTTTCTTTATATTAGTCCAATACTTTCAAGTCAATAAAGTGGAACTTTGACATCAGAGGAAAGTTTTTAATATACTTCTTCCTTTTTCCTTTCATTCATTTACACTGATAGGCAACTGCTATTGATAGACTAAATTTATCTCAACTATCAAAATACAGAATATAGAAAATGCTACCATTAATGACATAACAATTATGTTATCATCTGATTGAGGAAAAGCACAATAAAATTTCAGTGTATTTACCAGCAGGCAGCCAAGCGTTATTAAGGAAAAAAAACAGAATAGTCATTTGTCTGATATATTATTCTATCAAACATTAAATATATAATTACTAAGAGGGGAAAAAGAGTTCTCTGTGAAATAACCCTAATTCATGATCTTTCCCAAAATAGTCCTTTAAATTTTATATACTACTAGAGGCCCGGTGCACAAAATTCGTGCACAGGTTGGGGGAGGTCCTTCAACCCGGCCTGCACCCTCTTCAATTGGGACATCCCTCTCACAATCTGGGACTGCTGGCTCCTAACCACTCACCTGCCTGCCTGCCTGGTCGCCCCTAACCACCTCTGCCTGTTGGCCAGATGCCTCTAACTCTGTGGTTCCACAAAATACCACGTGCGGGCACACACATACAGTGCGATTAAAACTTCGTGGCCCATGCGCAGAAGTCGGTATTTTCTGGAAGAGCCACACTCAAGGGGCCAAAGAGCCGCATGTGGCTCGCGAGCCGCAGTTTGCCAAGCCGCAGTTTGCCAACCACTGCCCTAACTGCTCCCCTGCCAATCTAATCGCCCCTAATTGCCTCTTCCTGCCAACCTGATTGCCCTTAACTGCTCCCTCATGCCGGCCTGATCGCTCCCTAACTGCTCCCCCCTGCCGGCCTGATCACCCCCTGACTGCTCTCCCCTGCTGGCCTGATCGCCCCTAACCACCTCTGCCTCAGCCCCTGCCACCATGGCTTTATGTGGATGGATGTCCAGAAGATGTCTGGAAGATGTCCAGTCTAATTAGCATATTACCCTTTTATTAGTATAGATTATGCACATGTGAGTTATAGTAGAAAAAATAATGTGACTTTTATTGGTTATCTACTTCTGTGGCATATCATAGATGATTCAATAATTCAAGGTAACGAGCATTACTAAACCCTATGAGTTCTGTGCTATGCTAACACCAACTACTAAAGAAGTACATACAAGATATAGTCTCTGCCTCTAAAAGCACTTACTATGCAATTAAGAAACCACACTATGGGGGACCCTTTCCCCCTCCCCACGTGGGAGTCCACTCTGTGGGACTCTTTCCCTCTCCCCACGTGGGAGTCTGTACTTGTTCTTCAATAAATCTCCACCTTTGCTATACAACTCTCTGTCTGTGGATTCATTCTTCAACTCCAGCGGACAAAGAATCTGGGTTCCAGTCCAAAAATTCCGTTTCAAATCGGTGTGTTGGCCGGGAATTTCTCCCTAAGTCAGTCAACCCTCTCCACATCGAACGATGTATTCTCCAGGGCCAAAACCAAAGCAGGCATGGATCAGTCAAGTAAAGGTCACTATGGCAACTGCGGCTGCAAAAAAAAGTCTCCCATGTAAGGATAAAGTGGTGCCAGGTTGGGAGCGTTAGGTTTCCGCCAGTCGCAAGTCAAAGCCCAGCCATCGACTAAATGAGTGCTTCGGTCCCTGCCCAGCTCCGAAGATCAAAGAGGCAATTCCTCCCCCTGGTTCGAGAATCTCAAATGTCCTTAGATGGAAAGCGTGTTCTCTACACTACAAAAAGACAGTCCATTAGGATGTATCCTCAAGAATTTGGATAAGTTTGACCCACAAACCTTGAAAAGAAAGCGCCTGATTTTTTTTCTGCACTCAGGTTTGGCCTCTACCAACTAGCAAATGGAGAGAGTTGGCCCTCAGAGGGAAGCCTCAGGTATAACACCATCCTACAATTAGATCTTTTTTGTAGGAAAAACAGGAAATGGTCAGAAGTTCCATATGTCCAAACTTTCTTTACCCTAAGGGACAAGCCAGATTTATATTAAAAATGTAAAGTAGCCGAAACCGGTTTGGCTCAGTGGATAGAGCATCGGCCTGCGGACTGAGGGGTTCCGGGTTTGATTCCGGTCAAGGGCATGTACCTGGGTTGTGGGCACGTCCCCAGTTGGGGATGTGCAGGAGGCAGCTGATAGATGTTTCTCTCTCATCGATGTTTCTAGCTCTCTATCTCTCTCCCTTCCTCTCTGTAAAAAATCAATAAAATATATTAAAAAAAAGAAAAGAAAAAAAGAAACCACACTATGAAACAAGAGCAGTGAGAAGCAGTAATGACTAGATGCTCTAGTTGTAACAGTTCAGCTACAAGAGAGATCGGCGTAGCCCAGAATATCTGGGGAGGTTTTGTTGAACATATAGGCCTTTAGCTTTTCTAAAGAAGTCCTAATAAAAGGAAGAAGAGGCATTTTAGAAAGACAGAGAAACAGTGGCAAAGACAAAGTGCCAGAACAGCAAATCTTTGCACCAAACAGAACAGAGCTAACCCTAAATAAAATAGGCTTAAATAAACCTTTTGAGAAATAACGAAAAATCAGGTCAGGTAAGGAGCAAATGGTTAGATAATGGAAGACTTTGAAACAAACCACCAGATGAGAAGTAGATGCATTAAGCATAAATGAATAACTTACCTCACACACCAAAAAAAAAAAAGGAGACTATAAAAAACCTGAAAAACTGACAGTGGGAGTGACATACATATCTTAAATTTGAAGAGTTCTAATACACATTAGAGTAAAAAATGTATTCTAGATGATTTATGTGTCTAAGTCATCACAGTTAAAATACAAAGAAATTCCATAAAAAGAATAAATTGCCTCTGGTTCCCCAGCCAGGACTGGACTGAGTGGGACTCTTTACCTTCAATTCTCTGAGGCTTGCTGGCATTTTCAAAGTCACAGATCTTTCTCCAGTTAGCCTTCACTGCCTCAGGAGTCATCGGCTGATTCCTCTGTCTTACAATTGCCCCAAGGCTCCGCTCCCAGCGCACTGGTTATAGAAACAAAAATAAGATACTGAACACATAGTTTAAGTAAAGTAAAATTCATAAGAGTTCCTTGAATTTTTTTAACTTTAAGAAAAAGGAAATTCAGAAAAAGGATTCCACTTCTAAAGAGTTTTCCTACATGCCTTAAAGTTGATATTTCTAAAATAACAAATCCATTAAGATCATGTCAATTTTTTAAGAAAATATTTGAAACTGAAGGGAAAAACCTTTCCTCTTACTATACCAAACACAATTAAATGCAGAATGAAATGCTAAATCAGAAAGAGTTATATACATACTATCATGCAAAAAAACTCACTTCATGACCACAGATCATTTGGGAAATATTCTTCAAGATAACAGAACAGAGCTTCGTTGGATAGTAAACCGAGACTAGTAGTGATAACAGATCAAAAAGTTCAGACAGCCAAATACTATATCAAAATAATTTTTCTTTTTCCTCCCTTTGTTCTTCCTCCTTTTCCACAGGAAGTCAACTAGCACTCACAGATTCACAAAAATCATTACTACTGCATAAGTTCCATGAGAATTAACATTGTTTTCTTTTCAAAAGACAGGAATAAATAACCACTAGTAACTTATTTAAATATAATGGTCAGATTCAGATGATTATTAAACTGAAGATCTATCTTGGAGAATAACAGAAATGACTGCTTCTAGAGCTTTCCTATTAATAAAGTCCCAGACACAGCTTTTATTGTAAGAATGGATCTTCCTTTTTAAAATTGATATCATAAGACACTTAATTGAGTAATATAATTTACTTCAATAACTGGAGAGAAGAGATGAAAATATTGATAATCTACAATGCTCTCCAATAATGGTACTCTTTTAAATAATTCAATTAATTTTTATACCACTAGCCAACTGCAAACATAAATTGGGATACAGGAATTTTTACAATTTTTAAAAATTGCCTTAGAAAAGCAATTATCCAATCTGGAGCTCACAAGGTTTAAGGGCTGGGGTAAGAGAGGCTTGAAGCTAAATGAATTTACTAGTGGGCTGAAGGGAAATAATTTCCACAGATCGGTTGCAATTTCTGTCCCACAAAATTGTCCATGTGACTCTATGTCTCTTGATGTCTCATGCTCTAAGGAAAAAAGAATTAAATGAGAGAGCTGGAGAACTTGCCTGCTGTGGCTCTTCCCATCTTTTTAAAAACCAGCTCCCCCTCCGTCCCACCCTCCCACTGACAGTAAGAACAAGCACATGGCATGCCAGAGATGTGGGAAGACATCAATACAGAGACTATGCTGTCTGAAGGAAGAGCCAGTTCTGGATAAGAAGAGGCAAATCCTCAATAAGGATTGCCAACGGAAAGAAAATAAAACAGATTCTTGAAAATGCTACAAGTCTGCAGGACAACTTCCAGGTTTTAGAATACCTGGTGGTATAACAATGTTTAAGATTGAGTGTGTGTGCACTAGATTCAATGGTTAGGCATTTGACAAGATCTTTATCCAGCTCTAATTAGATATGCAGGTTTAAAGATATGGAAATAATGTATAGCAAAAGAGACTTACATTTTCCAATCCATCCTGCTCCAACCTACCAAGAAGAGGAAAAAAAGTTAAACCATCTAATGTGAAATCACTAACAAAATTTTTAAAATGTAAAAAACAGGCAACTATCTTACTAAGAATATTAGAATACTAGATGACAAAGGATAAAAACAATACAAATATCCACTGGCCCTCGTGACCGCACTGTTCATGTTATCACAGTAGAAATATAAAGCAGCACAATGTAGTAGAAATCATGTAGTAGAAAAAAGACTCTGATGTCAGAAACCAAGGTTTAACACCAGTTCTTCTTACTGACTAGTTATGTGACCCTGGTCAAATTATTTGACTTTCCTAAAGCTAAGTTTCCACTTAGGTAAAATAAGGATAATAATACACTCTTCGTGAGGTAATCATGAAGGTTAAAAAATATAAATTATAAAATTGCCTAATCTTAGTGGCTATAGGCTTAAAGGTATGACTTTTTTTTTTTCCATCTTTTTCAAAGGTCTGATTTTTTAATCACCCTTTGCCTTTATATTAACAGGCCCACACTTTTTATAACAGACCCATCAGTCCTGATGCTGTCAAAGTAGATAAATCAGCAGTGGTTTTGACAAGTCAAAAGAGATACATTTTTTATCATATTTGGGGAGTGAAGCAACAAACTACAAGCTCCTCTCAGGTGCTAGAAACAACAGCTTCAACTGAGCCAAAGGAACTGTATCTGCCATCCCAGTTGTCTATTAGGACTTTACTTTCAAGGTTTAAGTCAGGATATCACACACACATACCTTACTTTATTTTATCAATCATACATACCAAATTTCCTCACTAAAAATGTACACAATATCATAAAAGAAAACAACACACAGAATTTCATCTATCCAGGATCCTGTGTATGTTTATTGTGTGTAAAATGCATATCTAAAAACAACTACTAGTGTAAAATGCACATCTAATAAAAGACTGGAAGAGAATACATAAGAATATTAATAGTAATTATCTCTAAATAGTAGTAATGTGGGTGATTTTTTTCTTCTAAATATTTTCCTGTATATTTGAAGTTGTCTACAAAAAGCACATATTATTTTTGTTCCCAGAAATTAAATAATTGTAAAAGGTAAAAAGATTTTTTAAAATTCCCTAATAAGATTAAACACACACACACACACAACAACAACAACAACAACAACAAAAAACAAAAACAAAAACAAAAAAAACAGGCTGGTAAAATTTTGAGCTTGATATTATTAAATTTTCTTCCTCTGTAAATTTAGTGTAGTAAAGTTCTTTCCCACTCTAATTGTCCACAATTCACACCCAATGATTGTGATTAAGAAACAGAGGCACATATCTCCACTTAAACATAGAAAGACTGTTTTTTATTTACTTATCTGCTTTTTGTTCAAATGAATCAGGCTAAAATAATATTCACTTCAAACTGAGTCAGGTTATTTTACTACTAAGAAATATTTTTGGATATCATTCTATTCCTCATACAACAGGTTCATTATTACTAGAGGAGGGGAGTCATAAAATATATCAACAGTTCATGCTAGAAAGGTAAAAAGAGATCAAACTCAAATGAGAAAAAAATGCATAAAGTGGCATAAAGAGATCTAAATGGACTTTGACTATGGGTCTCAATGGGTGATGTAATTATATGGGTTTTTTTGGTTTTTTAATTCTACAATAAACATTTAAAGCTTTGCAACAAGGAAAAAGGGAAGAGTTTATTTTAAAAGTTAAGATAAATAATAAGCTGTGTTTACTGATCTATCACACCCAGACTAAATTCCTGCTATACTGATATATTTAAATTGAGGGGTGACTGCTAGGTACTATGTACTAGGTTCTATACTAAGAGTTTAAAACTATGATTTCTGTTTGCCACAAAAAAAACTAAAGTTCAGGGAGGTTAATTTGTACAAAATTCCAGCAAGCCAGCAACTGCCAGAATATCAGTACTAAAATACCAGAACTAAAAATCTGGCCTGGCTGACTCTAAGCCCTAAGCTCATCCTTCCACTTTACCACTGAGCTTCTCAAACCCAATGAGACTTTCTATATTTGATTATACACCCCAAACCAGCCACATTTTCATTTGGTAAGAATATCAGAAATGAAGAAAGTTAAAAGAGAATTTATGAAGTTGCAGTTACTTTCTCAAAATATTCCTTAATTATAATATAACCTTAAGATTTTTTAAAAATCAAATGATGCTGTTTTAAAAATGTGAGCAATTGGAAAATACTAATTTTTAAATAATTTTCATATCTAAATACACAATATTGCTTTGAAAGAAAGCAGGAAGGTACAGAATACCTCAAACAAGCCACCGTTTTCCTCACAACTCTCATGGCACAGCCAAAGGACCAGGGGTGCCACGTAATCTGGCTTCAGTGCTTCCAGAATATCTGAAATAAATACCCCCCAAACAAGTTTATAAACAAGAATATGTACACACTTCAGCAATCATGTTACTTTCTGAAAATTTCTTACTTATAAAATGATAGGCAATTCAGAGACATTTCAAATAACAAGAACAAATTTATATGTACAAAATTAGAGTAACACTCAAGGCTTTTCAAAGAATTTTTTCCATCACAAAAGAGATATTCCTAAAGTTCTCTCAAGTTCGAATATTAAATACATCAGACATACCTTTTCCAAGATGGATAACATACTATTCAGGAGAAGTCAGTTACAGCTGCCTAGGCAAAGACTGGTGAGCAGAGCTATGTATGACATAGGAACTTAGCTACCATTCGTTCCCAAAACTATTTCACTCTCCCAGCCATTAACCAGAAGCTAGAAAACTAAACACACACACACACACACACACACACACACACACACACACACACAAAAAAAAAAAAAAAAACAGCCTTGAAAATTGCAATGTTAGTGGGATAATGATGTGAGATGAACCTTGCAACCGTGTAAGATAATGATGTGAAATGAACCTTGAAACTGCATAAGATGATGGTGTGAAATGAACCTTGCAACCATTACTGATCAGTAACAAAGTGTAAGAAATATTTTCCCATTGCATCCTTTCTGTGAGCAACGTAACCAAGCAGAAAGGTACCACACAAGGAGTATGAAGACCTGGATTTTACTGCTAGCCCTGCCAAGCAGGCAATTCAGGACTGTGAACACATCACTCAACTCCCCTGGACATGTCTTCTCAGTAAGACGGTAAGTAAAATGCTTTTCCTGCCTATTCCATCAAGTTGTTCCAAGGCTCAAATGAGATACAATTTGCTAATATACTTTATAATCTTTAAAGAATAAAATAATTGCACATTTTAATTGTGAAATTATGAAATATAATTTTATATTAATATGCTAAAGTAACAAAGATGACATTTACAGTCTCTATAAATTAAAGAGCAGCTCCAAAAACTTTTCATTTCATAGCCTCTAAAAGTTCTCAAGTATGCAAAAAATCCAATGGTACACTGTCTCCACTCTGTTATAAGCATGAGGAGAAAACCAAAGGGAGAATCCAACTTCTTAAATGACATGACAAAACAAATTCTTAATCTATACAGATGTTTGCGTTGACTAACTTTATAGTATTGAATGCAGCAATTAACACATTAATGAAATCCAACTCACCATCTATTATCTTAGGTGATAAAAAAAAAAAAGAGCATGTCGTATAAGAAGAATACTTCTGACTTGCATTTTATTTCACATATTGTCACTAATAATTTAAGTAAATATTCTTGCTTTCCAGTACTCAAAATACATTCCAAACTCCAACGTTAGTTAGCATCTTATTAAGCCCGATTTTATTAACAAAAAACAGGATGAAGGAGGTAAGTGAAATTCCTGAGAATATCACAATGAGATACAATTTCATACTAACTAGATTGACACATACAAACAATGCCAAGTTTTGGGGAAGGACCAGGCATAGGGAAGGGTTAACTCAGAAGGCCAGGGTTGCTTAAACTTTGCACAATCCTAAGAAAGGTCTGTCTTCAGGACTGGAGCTTGGCCAGCTCCTGAGGGGTGAGCTCTGAGCCTCTGGATACGCGGCCTAGTAGGAGTGAGTCCCTGGGCCATGCTGAAGCAGTTTGATCAGATGGTTTATGCTAAGGATGTGACGTACAGAGAAGTCTTTTTGCTCTGAGGGGATGGAGTCTGAGTGGCTGAGTTAAATCACACAGGAGCTGCTTGCTTACATGACTGACTTCCAATAAAAAGCCTGGACACCAAGGCTCAGGAGGGCTTCCCTGGCTGGCAACATTTTACAGCATCCATCCTGGTTTCTCATGAATTTCACTCTGTATGCCTTTCCCCCTAGCTGATTTTAACTTGTATATTTCACTATAAAAAACCACAACCATGAGCATAACAGCTTTGCTGAGTACTGTGAATTCTTCTAGAGAATTATGGAGCCTGGGGTGATCCTGGAAAACCCCAATCCAACCATAGGTCAGTGAGAACTCTGTAACGACTGATGAATGTTATATTGGCTTAACCCATTTGAAAATTATTTAGCATTATGTGAAGTTTAACATTAGTATATTCCATAACTCAGCCATTTTACTTCTAAGTACACAACCTAGAAATATCCTTGCTGTGTGACTCTGGACACATGAACAAGAATGGAAACTGGAAACAAACCCAGATGTCCACTAGTAAGAATTAGATAAATTCACATAATGGACTATTACAGAACTATTATATAAATGAGTGAACTACAGCTATAAATAATATAAATTAATGTTAGAAATATAACATTGTGCAATCCCCCCCAAAAATACAGTATGTTACAATTTTATGAATATCAAAACAAGCAAACCAAATAGTTTTTAGCCACGTATTTATTATTTTTTAAATTTAATTAATATTTAAATGGTTTAGTATTTTTTAAAGAAAAATGGTACAGAAATGAAAACCAATCATTTTCTTTAAGTTATTACATCTTGGGGAAGCAAGAGGGTTGGGATGAAAGAATAACAAACATAGATTTAAGTTACTGGTAATGCCCCGATTTAGAGGTTGCATGACAGCTAGTCTTCAAAATGGCCCTAGTGATTCCCCATCTCCTCTTATTCACCCCTTTTTGTAGTCCCTTCCGACAATGTACCAGGATTGCTCTCTGTGACTACTAGAATAGGGCACTTCTGAAATTAAAAGATACTGCAACTTCTGTCTGATGGCTGTTTCTCTTTTTCAAATTATTAGCTCTGGGGGACGTCAGCTGCCCTACCAAGAGTAGTCCTATGGAGAAAACCACATTATGAGAAACTGAGGCCTCCTGCTGTCATGTGCATGTCTGAGCTTAGAAGTGGATGCTCTGACCCAGACAAGATTTCAAAGGACCAGAGTCCCAGAAAATATCTTCATTAAATATCTTTACAGAAAACATCTTCATTAAACCCCAAAATTTCCCAGCTAAGCCACTGAAAACTCCTGATCCCAGAAACTGTGTGAGATAATAAATGTTTATTGTTTTAGTCTACTAAATGTTAGAATGATTTATCACAGAATAGTAAATAACTAATAAAACTTGGGAAGTTAGTTCATGGCTATTCATTCTAGGACAGTGATGGCGAACCTTTTGAGCTCAGTGTGTCAGCATTTTGAAAAACCCTAACTTAACTCTGGTGCCGTGTCACATATAGAAATTTTTTGATATTTGCAACCATAGTAAAACAAAGACTTATATTTTTGATATTTATTTTATAAATTTAAATGCCATTTAACAAAGAAAAATCAACCAAAAAAATGAGTTTGCGTGTCACCTCTGACACACGTGTCATAGGTTCGCCATCACTGTTCTAGGATTATGTTTTATTTCATGTAAGAAACATGTAAGTTACATACATTTCTTTCCATTTATCAAATATATTTCAAATAGAAAAAAGAAACTGCAAATGTCTGCACACATTACTTGTAACATCTGGTTTTTTAACAAATAATTCTTATAATAGCCTGTAAGTGGATATTTCAGAGAGAAGAAATATCTGTGCAAAATTAATTTTCAGCTTTTTCTAAGCTATTAAAAAAGGTAATAAAAAACAAAATAGGGTTGCAAGATAATGACACAGAAAGATCTTTAACTCACTTCCTCCCACTCACAGACCAAATATACCTTACATACAGAGAAATTTCTCCTGAAGCGACACTTGGGGCTGACTGAACAGCTTCTGCACAACAAATGGCATAGGGACCAGACAGAGAAGGGTAGGCGATACGGAGACATGGTAATGAGGGGACCCATCCCCAACACAGTGGCCTGCAGTAGGAATATCACTGAGCGGCCCGCATGCAGACCACCTGCCCTGGGGCACAGCGAGAAAACAGCAGTCTAAAGGGCACCTAGACTATATGTGAGGAAATCCATTTACAAACCCTAGTGTGCCTGCCACACGGGTGGAGAACTGCTGGAACTCTCTCCAGGATCAGAGGTAGCAAAGAGCATCATTTTTATGTTACCCCCTCCACCTTACTAGCAGGGGTGAGAGCACAGTGCAGGCACTCTAGCTGGCCTGCCATGGCCATTCCATGTCCCTGAGTCCCTGGCTCACGCCAGCACCAACCATTCCCCAAAGGTGGCTCCAGTGAAGAGTGTCCTGGGACCCCCAAACCTGCATGCAGTCCAACTGCCCTGCCAGGGTAGAACTGGTGAGTCATACCCTATGTCATCCCCAGCCCATGCCTCCTCCATATCTAGCTGTCCCACCAAGGCAGCACCAGCAGTACATACCCTAGCTCCAGCCATTCTGCCAAGACAACCAAAACACAGTGCCCCCCAGGACCTCCAGGCCCACACCCACTGTAGCTCCAGCCATCCCACCAAGGCAGCCCCAGCATGGCAGTGCCCCAGGACACTCCAACCCACACCTGCTCCAGCTCCAGCCATTCCACCAAAATGGCCTTGACAGAGCGTGTCCTGGGATGCCTCAGAACTACACCTGTTCCAGTTCTAGCCAGCCTGCCAAAACCACCTGGCACACACAATCAATACGCTCCTATGCAAGGCTGCTCCTTCAAGACTGGAAGAAGTGGCTGTGTTGCCTAATTCATAGAAACAAATACAGAAAGTCAAACAAAATGGGGAGATATAGAAATACATTTCAAACAAAAGAACAAAATAAAACAGAAACACTAATTAAACAAACATAAGTAATTTACCTGATAAAAAGTTCAAAGTAATAGTCATAAAGATACTCACTGAACTCAGGAGAAGAATGAAAGAACACAGGGAGAACTTCAACAAAGGAAAAAAGACACACACACAAGAAAAAAGCAATCAGAGCAGAAGAATGTAACTGAAATAAAAAGTAAACTAGAGGAAATTAACAACAGAGTGGTTGGTATGGAAGAACAGATCAGCAATCTGAAAGACATAATAGTGAAAATCATTCCATCAGAGCATCAAAAAGAAAAAAAAATAATAAAGATAGTTTAAGGGACCTCTAGAACAACATCAAGCATACTAACACTCACATTATAGGGATCCCAGAAGTGGGCAAGAGAAAGAAAGGGGTAGAAAACTCATTTGAAGAAACAGTCGTTGAAAACTTCCCTAATCTGGAGAAGAAAACAGACATCCGGGTTCAGCAAGTCCTAAACAACATGAACCTAAAGAAATCTATTCCAAGACATCCACACTAATAAAAGAGAAACATGTAAATTGGTTGTCACTCTGCTATGCCCACCAGCCAATCAGGACGAGTATGCAAATTAACCCAACAAAGATGGCGGGTTAATTTGCATATGCAAGCGCAGAGTGAAGACTGAAGATTGAAGAGGCTTGCAGCAGAGAAGCCAAGCCTCACTGTGGCCAGAGGGGAGAAGCCAAGCCTCACTGTGGCCAGAGAGGAGAAGCCTAACCTTGAGGCTTGGCTTCTCTGCTGTGGCTGGACCAAAGGCCTGGGTCCCGGGTGCCAGAGGAAAACCGGTGCCGGCAGCTAGGGGAAGGAAGGCCTATTGTGTGAATCTTCGTGTAACGGGCCTCTAGTTTATAATAAAGATGGTAAAAGTTAAAAGACAGAGAGAGAATTTTAGAGGTAGCAAGAGAAAACTGACTTGTCACATTCAAGGGAAACCCCATAAGGCTATCAACTGATTTTTCAGTAGAAACTTTATAGGCCAGAAGGGATATTTAAAATGATGACAAGGAAAAACTTACATCCCAGACCTTGCTGTGGGGCAAGGTTATCAATCAGAATTGGAGGAGTGTTTCCCAGAGAAGCTAAAACTCAAGAAGTTCATCACCACTAAACCAATAAGGAAGCACTTTCCTTAAGCGACATATTATATCAGATGGCCTTAATAGATATTACAGAACCTTTCATCCCAATACTGCAGAATACAGTCTTTTCAAATACAAATGGAACATTCTCCAGGATATGTCACATTTGGCCACAAAACAAGTCTTAATAAATTAAAGAATACTGAAATCATATCAAGTGCCTTTTCTGACAACAGCATGGAACTAGAAATCAATTACAAGAAAAATCTAGAAAAAATACAAACACATGGAGACTAAACAACATGCTACTAAACAACCAATAGTTCAATACTCTATTAATTATTTTTTAAAATTATTATTATTATAAAACAGTAAGAATGCTATTACCACGTTCTATAAAAAATATATTTATGTATACTGTATAAACCTACACAGAGAAAAAGAATGAAAGTGTATCTCAGTGTGGTAGAATTATGGCTCATTTTTTAATCCTTCTCTTGTGCTTTTCTAAAATTTTTGTAATGAACACACATTATACATAATGCTATTTTAAACTGTAGGAAAATAATTTTTTAACTATTCAGAAAATTAAATACTTTTGCAAAGCTCACCTCACACAGATTTGTGGGTAACAGCACTGAAAAATCTAAGCTACTTACCTTCAGGCATGACAGTCTTGGTCAGCCGTGATCCAGCAGTAGGGGCAATAGTATTACAATGAATGTTGTTTTTCTGGCCTTCAATTGCAAGAGTATTTGCAAGGCCCAGAAGACCCAGCTTTGCAGCACTATAATTTGCCTGGCCAAAGTTGCCATATATTCCTGAAGCCGATGAAGTCATAATTATCCTAAAAGGAAAATCAATCCCCCAATATCATCTTTGCTATGATTTTATAATGCTACAACTGTATGTCTTTCGTTCTTTTCAGTACTATTACACCTGTCAAAAACAACTCTGTATATTGCCATTAGATTCTTACAATCATGATGCATATACCTAAAACAATAGTAATAATAAAATTAATTTCGGCCCTGGACAGGTAGCTGAGTTAGTTAGAGCACCATCCTAATATGCTAAGGTTGCCCCAGTCAGGGCACATATAAGAAACAACCAATGAATGCATAAATAAGTCAAACAGCAAAACAATGTCTCTTTCTTTCTCTCTCTCTCTCTCTCTCTCTCTCTCTCTCTCTCTCACTGGTTCTCTCTCTCCTTCCTTCCCTTTCACTCTCTAAAATCAATAAATAAAATTAAAAATAAATGATAATGATAATAATAATAATAAAAGTAATCTCTCAAACTTCAACTATAAGATTTAACTGTTTTAAAAAGAATCCCTGTTTAGAACCAAATAAATTCAATTATAAGAATGTTCATTCATTATCTATTGAAAACAACAATAAATATTTATAAACATAAAATAAACTGGCAATACATATGTTAAAGTTTTAGTAAGAAATATTAGATAAAGCAGTTCTAATTCTTCAGTACTCATCACTTTGACCCTCTCCCTTTCTGGATAACATTAAATGCCTCATATTAAAACAATGCCATCTCATCATCTCACCCAATCTGACAAATTTACTAGCTCTACCACGTTCTGAGTACTCACAGAGATGCAACTATGAGAGTTGTAGAGTTCCTAAACAGTTTATAAAGACTACCTCATGTCTCACAAGTACCAACTAACAGGAAACAGCCACTCATTTCTCCTGAGTTAGTCACTGGATACACAAAATGATATTTTGGTTAGAGAATAAAGTACAGGTATGTCCTCAATGTTTACACGGCTAAAATATCAGCACAGCAGAAAAATCATTAATAATGAAAAGTAGGTGAAAAAAATACATAAAGCTGTCCAGCTCAGCTAATCTATAACTAAATGACCAATTTAATGAGAGGGTATGTGCCAAAACTACACCTAAAAAGCCCACACATATATGATGATGTTTTCCTCAATATCAAAGCAATTATGATTCCCTCTACACAAGAACCCACACACATTTCTTATAAGTACCGCGCACTAACCAATTGCGCGACTGGAGCTCCGAAGAACCCACACACATTTCTAATCCCCCTGGAAAGCATATGCAACTCTACCTTCCAAATTTCTGTTTCTTCATGTGATCCCATGCTGCCCGGGTCACTTGGAATGAGCCCCGCAAATGAACTTTATGGATTAAATCTAAAACAAGAAATTATTTTTAGTATATATTTTGTCAAAAATTCCAACAGACGTCTCAGAGTCAACATAAGCAATGATTTACTTATAAACTCATTTTAAACCTAGCATTCAAAATCAACTGAGTAAATATTTTTGCCTTTGTTCCAGTTAGGAAAAACCAATACCTGTTTTGCCTATCACTTATGATAAAATTACTGAAACCCTGTACATATCTAAATACAATGACATCTTTTTTCCATAGGTGTGAGCGAGAACACAGTCCTCCACTACCACAAATTATGCAGTCGAATTTCCCACATTTGGGGAAATCGCAGGGGTCAGCATATGCAGAATGCAATGGATAAGGCTCCCCCTGGGAAAAACACCTTGGTGATCATGGTATTTCCCATGACAGGTAAGCATGGTACAATGCCATCTTTAATTTATGCCTACTTTATATAAAAAATCACTACCTTTACATATATAGTTGGGACTCGACACAAACATTAGTTAAAGCATAATCACAAACCACACAGTTCATCATCAAGAAATGTTTACAAATGCTCAGTATATATCCCTATTTTTCCCAGGGTTTATAAATGAGTTAGAGAGAATTGGGGGTTTGGGGGATAGAAAATAAGAGAAAAGAGGGAGGGCGGAGAAAGTGAGAAAGAATGCTAATCTAATGAATAGACAACCTGGGGAATGGTTCAGATAGACAAAAACCTGTAGATTTAATTTTTAACTCAATTTATTTATATATAATTTGATATTTTAATTATTAAGTTTTTAACCATTCTTATTTTTGTTTCAATCTGGGGGTCTCATTAAATGTTTTCATGTATATGTTAGAAGAATAATGTTAAGAGTGAAAAAAAGAAATTTAAAGGGGGTAGGGAGGTAGTAGTTAGGATGGTGAGCTGAGGATGAAACCAGAGGAGGAAACATCCCAGTCCAACAAGAGCTGAAAAGAAAGTGCCAACATAAACCCCCTTTGCCAACAAATCTTATCTTAGCTTCTTTTTTACTCCAATTCCTACAAGGGAAGAGGAAACTAAAAGCCCTTCTTTGCTTCACTCTAAGTCACAAAGATATATTTTGCTTCTTCCAACAGAACTTGTGGCCATATTCCTCAGGAGCACACACTATAAATGATGAGAGAATTCACCTCAGTTATCATGCCTGTCACTGTCTCAGCCATCATTGCTTGTTTTAGTTCTGATAGCCAATGAAAGCAAGGGCAAAGAAGAGTGAACAGAAAAAACATTTTTTTCCTAACTGTGATTTGTTCATTATCTAAACTCAATCTTTCCTAATGGAAAATTTTCCTACTTATTAGAAGCTTCAAAATTACATCTAGATTTTCCTACCCATTACTAAGATTTCCATCATTTTTAGTGCCCCGGGCTACCTTCCATATCCTGTTCTTGCTCTTGAAATAAGAATCACACAGCCAGAGAAGCATGATGCAGGCTGTTCGAAAGAGTTAATACTGCTAGGAAATGCTGACAATCTCTCAAGGGAAAAACAAATCAACAGGCACAAAATCCTTTTGAATAACTTCTGACAACTGATTTAAATTTTTTAAAATTTCTCAAATGTTTAAAAAAATCAGCTGTTTCCAAGTGTTCATCATTTTCAGGTATAAAGCTTATGCATTACTTACATTAGCAGAAGTAGATAAAAGCAAGTTTTTTCTTAAATGTAGAAATTTATCAAATATTAAAAGGCTAAATGGACAGGTATACTAGTATTCCAGAGACATGTATTAAAAACAACTTACCCCAGTCTTCATCACTTATTCTACTAAAGGAACGATCCCTCAGAATTCTAAAAAAATGATATTATATTGGTTAGTGTAGGGAAGGAGTATACAGTTAAAAATAAAAAAACTTTGTATGCACATTACTAAAAATGAAAAAAATAAATACTCACCCAGCATTGTTAACCACAACATCTGCAATATAAAAAGATCCAGGTCACAAATATATAAGCAAGCATATTAATTGGTAAAGAGTGCTATCAGAACAAAACTTTATATGTAAAGAAAAAAAAATCTATTCACAGAACCACAGCCAGTACCACACTGAATCAGGGCTTTGCTCTCAAACTTACATATCTAAATTTTTCCATCTCTACATTCTGCTGAAATTATATCATCTTATTTATATAATTAGCTATTGCACAACTCTTAGGTTCTTAGGATTCAGGGGTAACCACAAGCCATTCCTCATTTAACCACAAAATTCACTCAGAAAGTTAAAAGCTGAAAGGGTTTTTCCTTGCCACTCAAAAATCAAAAGCCCAGGAAGAAAACCAATACTTTAAACAATAAAGAATTTAAAAAAAAGGAAACCGATGTCTTAACACATAATTGTATTAGTATTCCTCTTATGAAAAGAAATTATATATTTTAAGGTGAACCACCATCATGTAACTATTTTCACCTATGACTTCCCACCTTTGTGGTCTTGATTCCTCTGTCACTATATGTGAACATGTCTCTTAGGAGCTCAACCAAACATGACTAGAAAAACAAATATGCTTGACAGGAAAAACAAAGGAATACATTCAAATTACAAAAAAAATAATGTTTTCCAGATTGTAAACATATTGGGCTAGTTTGCAATAATGTTTCTCTCTAGAATTCAATAATCAACCACTTATTAAAAACTAGAGGCCCTCGGCCTGGCCAGCAATCAGGGCCCATTGGGGCTGGGCCGGCTGGGCCAACTGGACGGGGGGAGGGCCGGGGAGGTTGGCTAGCCGGGCCAGGGGGAGGGGCCGAGGGAGGTTGGCCACCGCCCCCCCACCCCCCCCCCCCCCCCCCCGCATCAGGGCAACTGGGGCTGGCCGGCCATGGGGAGGAAACAGGGGAGGTTGGCCAGCCATGGGAGGTTGGCTGTGGGAGTGCACTGACCACCAGGGTGCAGCTCCTGCATTGAGCATCTGCCTCCTGGTGGTCAATGAGGATCATAGCGACCGGAAAGGCATATATATATAGACTAGAGGCCCAATGCACAAAATTCGTGCAAGGGACTCAGCCCTCACAGTCGCCGCTTCATCTGGAAGGTCGTCTGGAAGGACATCTGGAAGGTCATTCGGCTGTCCGGTCTAATTAGCATATTACACTTTTATTACTATAGATGTGTGGAACTAAACCAGGAAGATTATCTAGAGAACGGCTGACTAAATGACATATTGGAAATACTTCTTTAAAAATGAAGATTTTTTATTATACAGTTGACTATTGAACAACAGGGGTTTGAAATGCATGGGTCCACTTATATGTATTTTTATTTTCATAAATATATCAGAAAAATTTTTAGAGATTTGCAACAATGTGAAAAACTTGCAGATAAACCACAAACTCTAGAAATATTTTTTAAAAACTTAAGGAAAATTATGTATGTCATGAATACATAAAATATATGTAGATACCAGTAGTCTATTTTATCATTTATTATCATAAAATATATACAAGTCTACTACAAAAAGTTAAAGTTTATAAAAATGTGCAAGCACAGATCATAAGTGGTACCATTCACAGTAGAGAAAAGTAAACAACTGTAAGGATGCACAATTAAATAAATGCATAAAGTTAACTGTATTATATATTGTACTATTGTGATAATTTTCTAGCCACCTTGCAATGACATCAAGTGTTGCAAGTATCCAATTAAAATGCCATGTAAACCTTATGCAGTTTGGCTCAGTGGGTAGAATATCAGTCAGCAGACTGAAGGGTCCTGGGTTTGATTCCTGTCAAGGACACATACTTTGGTTGCAGGCTCGATTCCCCTGGCCCTGATCAGGGTGTGTGTGGAAGACAACCAATAACTGTGTCTCTCTCACATCGACGTTTCTCTCTCTCTCTGCCTCTCCCCCTCCCTCCCACTCTCTAAAAATCAATGAGAAAATATCCTCGGGAGAGGATTACCAAAAACAAATGCCATGTGATGCTAATCGCTCCTCATGAGAAGTTCCTCTCTTCAGCAAATTGTGTATAGCAGCAAAAAGTAATGTTTTCATTTTTTAGTGCAATATGAAGTGCCACTCACTAGTGGTGCTGGAAATGCTCCCAAGAAGCAGCAAAAAGTCATGACATTATAAGAAAAAGTTGAGCCAGTTCTCTTACATTAACTGCCTAAGAGACTCGCTGTAAAAAGCAACAACCTCTCCTCTTCCTGTCCACAAAGCAGCAACCACATGTGAGTGCATCTCCATCCACACTGGCCAGGCTGGTGTCCAGATCGGCAATGCCTGCTGGTAGCTCTACTAGAACAGGTTGGGACTGTAGCATGACCAGATGCCAAGTGACAAGCAGGCGCTCTCCATTTACTCAGCCCCCCAGGTTTCCACAGCTGGTTAGCCCTACTCCTCCATCCTCACCACCCACACCACCCTAGAGCACTCTATGCCTTCATGGTGGACAATGAGAACATCTACATCTCTTGTAGAAAACTTGATATTGAGCACCCAACCTATACTAACCAGAATAGGGTGATAGGTCAAATTGTGTCTTCCATCACTAAATCCCTCAGATTTTTTAAAATATATATTTTTATTGATTTCAGAGAGGAAGTGAGAGGGAGAGAGAGAGAGAAACATCAATGATGAGAGCGAATCATTGATTGGCTGCTTCCTGCACACACATCTCCCTGCTGGGGATCAAATCCACAACCCAGGCACGTGCCCTGACTGAGAATCGAACCATGACCTCCTGGTTGATAGGTGGATGCTCAACCACTGAGCCATGCCAGTCAGGCATGCTTTCCGATGATCTGATGGACCCCTGAATGTTGATCTGGCAGAACTCCAGACCAACCCAATGCACTATCCCTGCATCCACTTCCCTCTGGCCACGTATGCCCAAAATCTCTGCTGAGAAAGCCCACCAAGAACGGCTGTCTGTAACAGAGATCACCAATGTGTGCTTTGAGCCAGCCAACCAGGTGGTGAAATGTGACTCTCACCACGATAAATACATGGCTTGCTGCCTGTTGTACAGAGGTGACATGGTTCCCAGAGATGTCAGTGCTGCCACTGCCACCATCAAGACGAAGTTGATCACCCAGTGTGTGAACTGGCACCCCACTGGCTTCAAAGTTGGCATTAATTACCAGCCTCCCACTGTGGTATCAGGTGGAAACCTGGCCAACGTACAGCAAGCTGTGTTCACGCTGAGCAATACCACAGCTACTGCTGAGGCCTGGGTCGCCTGGACAAGTTTGACCTGATGCAAGGCCAAGCGTGCCTTTGTTCACTGGTACGTGCGTGGGTGAGGGCATGGAGGAAGGAGAGCTTTCTGAGGCCCATGAGGACATGGCTGCCTTTGAGAGAAATTATGAGGAGGTTGGTGTGGATTCTGTTGAAGGAAAGGGTGAGGAAGAAGGAGAGGAATAAAGTTAAAATGTCACAACAGTGCTGCTTTTACAGGGAAGCTTATTCTATTTTTTTAAATTTCTTTATTGATTAAGGTATTACATATGTGTCCTTATCTGACCATAACCCCCCCCACCCCCGACCTCCCCAACTCATGCCCTCACCCCCCTGCTGTCTGTGTCCATTAGTTAGGGTTATATGCACGCATATAAGTCCTTTGGTTGATCTTTCCCCGTTACCCCCACCCTCCCCTACCTTCCCTCTGGGGTTGGACAGTCTGATCGATGCTTCTCTGTCTCTGGATCTGTTTTTAAACTTTGAAAAGTTATGGTCTGTTCAGTTGTTGGATGTAGCAGTGCATACTCTCATATACAATAACTGGCCTAGGCTTTAAAAAACACGAAGCTTTGCTGCAGTCCCAACCTGTCCATTTCTCCAATGGGTTTGAGAAAAGTATTCCTTGTCTTAAATTTTAAAAAGTTGAATTACTTAACATGTACCATAGATTGAGAGCTCTAACTGGGGCTGCCTGCATTGCCAGATAAATCAATCCAGCATAAAGACCATTATAAACAAAAAAAGAAATTCATGAAGCCATCACTGCAGCTACACCCACAGTCATGAAAATTTTGTGCTTTTCGTGAATATCTTTTTATCTCGTATTGAAATGCAGCTTTTATGGGAGTGCAGGATTGCTGTGAGAAAGGCACGGCTACAGACACTAATGTGACTTGAGAAAAAGCAAACTCATTATATGACAACTTAAAGCAAATGGATGGTAACAGACCTAAAGCTCAAGAATTTAATGGCAAAGGATGGTCTGGTAATTTTAGAAAGAGGTTTGGCTTAAAAATGTCAAGATAATATGGGAAGCAGCTTCTGCCGACCAACAGGCAGCAGACAAGTTCCCAGACACAAGTAAGAAAATCGCTGAGAAGAAAGGGTATCTGCCTGAACAGGTTTTTAATGCAAATGAAAGTGCTCTATTCTGGAAAAAATAAATGCCACAAACGACATTTATTAGGAAGGAAAAGAGCACCACGATTTGAGGCAGGAAGGGATAGCTAACTCTACTATTTTGTTCAAATGCAGTCAGGCATCAGGACTGCCCTTACCTATAAAACTGCTAAACCCCATGCCTTGTTAGTACCATAAAAGCAAAGAAACATCACCTATTCTTCCAAAAGCATCCAGTGCTGTCTTCACAAGCTTCTCTCCTGCTTCCACTGAATCTGAGGAAAGGGAAATTAGTACAAAACTTCAGTAGTATCTCTCAAAATGATTTCTAACTTCTTTTTTAAAATTTTTTATTTATTTTAGAGCAGCAGTTCTCAACCTGTGGGTTGCGACTCCTTTGGCGGTCAAATGACCCTTTCACAGGGGTCGCCTAAGACCATCCTGCGTATCAGATATTTACATTATGATTCATAACAGTAGCAAAATTACAGTTATGAAGTAGCAACGAAAATAATTTTATGGTTGAGTCACAACATGAGGAACTGTATTTAAAGGGCCAGAAGGTTGAGAACCACTGTTTTAGAGAGAGAAAAGAAAGAGGGAGGGAGAAATGAAGGTGCACATTTAAATTGAAAAAGCATGTTCAACACTATATACTACATGTGGAAAATAAACCTGTTTTTTAATACTAAACACAAGAAATAAAGCTTGGCAAAAATAGTAGTTTCATTGTTTTCTGCTCATCAGCTGAGGGGAAGGGCTCATATCCTCAGAGTTGTGTGTCAGCTGTCAACTCACTGTCACCACTGCCTCTTTCTATATCCTCTGCAATCACAGGGGAGGATCCAGGAAACACAGTCCCTTTCTTAGGTCACATATAGTCCTGAGTTAGCTATGTCAAAAAGAGATAGTCATCTAAAGCACGGAAAAGTAGAAGCCTACAGATGCAGGCAATCACGTGAGGAGATGTAAAACCAACAACACATCTACTACCTGCTGCAGGCTGAGATGGTCACGGACAGTTTCCCTGACATGCACTTCCTCAACCCTTCCAATGGCTATGTTAGCCTCTAATTCTCTGTATTGAAACCCTCACACCTGGAAAACCTAGAGGGGCTTCGGTTTTTCTGACTGAATCCTGATTGACACAGATTGCATATCAAAACTAGGGCGGGAGTGGGGGAGGGTCTGGAATTTTTATCTTTATAAAATAGGTTTATAAAACACCAAAATTCAAATTTAAAAAAAAAAAAAGGTGAAGACAGTTTTCTAGACCCTTAATGTGGAAACAAGATACTAAAATGTCTGTTTCATTATTCCTTTAAACTCTCAAAATAAATCATATCCTATTTCTTTTCCTCTAAAATTTCCAAATGAAGTCACTGGTAATCTAATTTAATCCCTGGCCCATATAAACAATTTAATTTGCAGAAAAATTAGTAAGTGCTAGCTTTTTAAAGTAAATCTATTTAAGAAGGTTCCTTACAAATACTATTAGACTCAATACATCAAATGTAAAGATTGTTTTTGCTGTTTTTCTTGTGGCTTCACTTTAATGCCTAACTTTGACACAAGTATTTGTAAAGATAAGAAGTTACATATACCAAGATTACTTGTAAATAATGGAATATAGAGGTTGAGTACAGAAAGGGGGCATTTCACTTCTTACATGATATTACTTTTTTTAAATTTTTAAACAATTTCAAAAGAAAAATGTAATGTTATTCTACAGAAATACATAAAACCTTTTAGCTAAAACAGGTCTTTTAAGAACAAGAACATATTCATATACACATCTACAATAATTTATTGATTATATCATGTGCTCATTAATAAAAAAAAATTAAGTAAGCAATAGAAAAGGTAGACATGAAATAATCTATATCAAGAGTTAAAAATTCTCACATATGATAAAAAATACGTAGACAAATAACTTTGACTTAGATAAAATCTAATTTCATAATTACACTGGAATGCAGAGATATTTGCTCAATGATTATCAATGTGTGCATTAGCTGTAGGAAACATTTAAAAATAGTCTAATTCTCTCAAATACCATACCATAGTTGGCCACTGCCTTTCCACCTTTCTTTCTTATTTCTTCAACAACCTTATCGGCAGCTAAGGAGCCTTTACCAACTCCCTTGAAGTCCCCTCCTAAATCATTCACTGCAATGCAAAAACAAACAAACATGCAATCATTTCTAGACTTTCAAAGTATTGAGTTGAAATAAAATTATTAGTATATTTCTTTAGTCATCTGCCCAATTACATCCTATCTCACCCCCATCTTACTGAACACACCATGAGGTATATTCAAAACATGCCTCTCTTTTTGTTTTTAAATACAGACATGAAAAAGCAATAAAAATATTTAAACAGGTTTGTCATAAATTTTAATTGTATAATCCTCTTGTTTTTTAAAAAAGAAAAAGAACATGATTTAACCCACTTTTAACAAAAAAAGACTAGGAAAAAACTAAAGATCACTTTTAGATTAAACACACAATGACATTTGTTTATTTCTGGGATTTTCCATTTAATAGTTTCGGAAGGTGTTTGACAAAATGTAACTGAAACTGTGGGAAGTAAAACCATGAAAAAAGGGAACTAATGTACAGTTAAAAATTTGTTAAGAGGATAGACCTCATATCAAGTGTTCTTACCATAGTTTAAAAAGAAAGGTTAAAAATACATTATGAAATATCTTCTCAAAGTGAAGAAAGCCTTTGTTTACAGAAATGGTGATAAAGAACAAACATGATATTAAACTATTAGAGAAGCAACTTAATAAGTTTTCATATATATATACTATGCCATAATCTATGATGAAGCAAATAAAACTATTTAAAAAATCAAAATTACATACAGAACTAATTTATACCATGTTTAGTCACTAATTTATGACTCCGTGTTTATGTCTTTAACTGACCACACTACCAGATAACATCTGCCTATATCCAATTACATAGATATAAATGTTAATTGAGCATTTACTATTTGCAAGGAAATCTACAAAAGAACAAAAGATGAATAAGAATGGTACATCTTAAAGCGTTTATAATCTATGAATATCATAATGCACAATAAGTTTTAGCATAAAGTAAATAAAGGCCAAAATAACTAAATAATAAGGCCAGATAAAGTAAATTTACACAATAATTTAAGGTAAAATTTATGAAATAACATGCAAAAACTAATGAAAAAATACATAGATCAATGCCAAATATTTAAAAAAAAACAGAATTTAAGAAAAATACTTGGGACAAAAAATTAATGTGCATTGCAAAATGATCTGTAAGATTTCTTAGGAATATAATAAAAAATATTAACCAGTTAACCGCCACGATATTTTGAATTTAATTTTTAAAAGTTCACCGCTTGCATCTATAGACACTTAAGGTGTACAAATGGTTAAATAATATATGGCATGATGGCATATACTAAATTTTAAAGTATTTTAATACTAGTTGATGACTACCACATCTGAAAAAAAATACTTTTTCTTCTGAAGAATGGTTTTGTTTTGTTTGCTTTTTGTAGATTGGAATGAGAGTGGCAAGTGGTGTGGGGTGGTAAATACAGCGAAAAAGCAAATGCCTATCCACACTTAAAATTAGCTAAATAAATGTTTTTTTAATTAACTTTTTTTTAAGGGAATATGTTTTTCAAAATGTGGACTCGGACATATTTTTTCTAACAATATAGACTTACCATTCTTACTGCATGTAAAAAACAATAAAACCATGAACACAAAATAATAAAAAGAGGCTTACATTATCCCTCAAGAGATTTAAAGAAAGCAGTAGTAAGATTCAAGACTAAATTCCTATTAACTGTTCATTTCCATGCAAATGACCGAAAACAACTAGCAAAAAATATCAAGAGTTTAAGACATGAAGCTAACAGTCTTTTAAGAGCCTTTTTAACTAAGCAAGGGAAAGTTCAAAAGCAAATTGGCAAATGCGATATTTAAAGAATTGTTCAATTGTGCAATGAAACACCACCCCCAAGTGGAAATTGGTCAAAGTGCAACCACACAGGTAAGCATTGAGACCAATAATGTGCAGTGAAACAGTATCAGAACAGATTTATCCAAGGTAAGTCTTTACATTTGAGAGCATTAAGTTAGCACTGACCTCATTCAGTCATCCCACTGTCACCAGAGCTAAATTACACAACCCTAACTAGAAAAGCTGGTTACATGCTGAAGAGCTTGGATAGAAACAATATTAAGATTTTTTTTGCAACTGTACACAAGAGAAATCTATCCGTACTGTGTGACACTGTTACCACTTAAATTTATGGCTAAAATTATAATAATAATAATGATTTTTTTTAAATACCATTATCACCTTATACTGGTATGTGTCTACTTGGCATTTTCGAAGAACTATTATGCACACTGCTGCATTTGCTCTCCGCGCAGCTTTTTAGGAGGTTAGCATGAAGAGCTGTTCCTCCTTTCCCGGGTGAGGAAAGTTCAGGAAAGGTTAGGCAACTTGCCCTAGGCTCCAAGGCTGCATGAAATAGCAATATCCAGACCAGAACTCTGACCTACTACAATGCTACTCCGCTCCTCTAATGCTGTTTCTTTTATCCTGAAAAGAAGGTAATCATTTCCACTAAAAAAAAATCTTATTTGTTTGGGAAGCTATAGAGGAAATGATAAATCAACCACCTCGCTCAAACAAATAGCTTTAAAATAGGTAGTAAAAATGATAAGATGATGATAGTTAAGGACAGTCTTTTCAATTGAAACCATCAAAATACCCCAAAATGTGATATATTTGTCAATTTTCATTTATATTTCTTACTGTTTTGCTTGTTTAAGTCACATTTTTTGGAGTGTTTATCCTTCTTACAGATTTTTAAGGGTACTTTATTTATAAAATATTTTAATTACATGCTATATGTATTGCATGTAAAGTAAATCATAAATTACTTTATTAAAATGTTGAGAGAGGTAATATCCGAACATTAATATTACTTAATGGTTTCACTTTACTGCTTCAATTTATTATAGTAGTTCCTTCTTTTTTGCTGTAGCTCAATGTGGCTACATTATCAAGAGGAATAATATTAAATGCTTTATATTTGAAAAGTGCTTTATAACTATCTTTACACATATTCACGTTCATATATTTATTCAATTCAAGGGTTTGTCACCAAATGAGTTATATCTATTACCAATGGCATATCTGTAAACTATTTTTATTTCCAAAGTAAAACTATGCTTCCAATGCTACATAATTGGAATAACTTTTATATGTATTGGTATGTAAGACATCCTTTGTACTAGGTAATCCAAGAAGTGTATAAAAAGATAATAAGGCCCTAACCGGTTTGGCTCAGTGGATAGAGCATCAGCCTGCGGACTCAAGGGTCCCAGGTTCGATTCCGGTCAAGGGCATGTACCTTGGTTGCGGGCACAGTAGGGTGTGTACAGGAGGCAGCTGATTGATGTTTCTAACTCTCTATCCCTCTCCCTTCTTCTCTGTAAAAAATCAATAAAATATATTTAAAATTAAAAAAAATAAAAAGATAATAAAGGCAATATTATATTATAAAAGTATTTATTTTTTGGAGAAGTTACTTACTTTTTTTTTTTTGGCCCACCACCTCAACCCCCTTCCCCTCTGCCAACTGTTTTCTGTTCTATGAGTATGTTTTGTTAGTTCATTTATTTTCTTTAGGTTTCACAGATAAGTAAAACTATATGGTATTTGTCATTTTCAGTCTGATTTCGCCTAGCATAATACCCTCTAGGTTCATCCATATTGTCAAAAACGGTAAGATTTTGTTCTTTTTGTGGCCAACTAATATTCCATTGTATATAAGGGTGAACAAAAGTAGGTTTACAATTGTGAGTATGCAAAGCAGAGGCTATTACTTTGAGTTTTTAAGAAATGCAAACTCAAAAAGTACCTTTTTACACATCCTCTATACCAGTGATGGCAAACCTATGACACGCGTGTCAGAGGTGACACGCGAACTCATTTTTTTGGTTGATTTTTCTTTGTTAAATGGCATTTAAATTTATAAAATAAATATCAAAAATATAAGTCTTTGTTTTACTATGGTTGCAAATATCAAAAAATTTCTATATGTGACACGGCACCAGAGTTAAGTTAGGGTTTTTCAAAATGCTGACACGCCGAGTTCAAAAGGTTCGCCATCACTGCTCTATACCTGTCTCTCCCACAGATAACTGCATTAGGCTGTTCCTTGGATGTCCTTCTAGACCAGCCATGGGCAAACTATGGCCCGCGGGCCAGATCCGGCCCGTTTGAAATGAATAAAACTAAAAAAAAAAAAGACCGTACCCTTTTATGTAATGATGTTTACTTTGAATTTATATTAGTTCACACAAACACTCCATCCATGCTTTTGTTCCGGCCCTCCAGTCCAGTTTAAGAACCCATTGTGGCCTTCGAGTCAAAAAGTTTGCCCACCCCTCTTCTAGACGTTTCTGTTTGAGGACATTTTCCCACTTTTTAAAGTTAATTTTGAGAAAGAGAGGAAGGGAGAAGGATAAAGAGAAATATCGATGTAAGAGAGAAACATTGATGTGAGAGAGAAGCATCAATCGGCTGCCTCCCGCATGCATCCTGATCAGGGACAAAGTCCACAACCTGGCCAAGTGCCCTGACTGGGAATCAAACCAGCAACCTTTTGGTGCACAGGACAACACTCCAACCAACTGAGCGACACCAGCCAGGGTGATTTTTCCCCATTTTGATAAAGTTTCCTATAGTGAACAATAGCATTAAGAATAATTTCATAGGTCCTGGTTGTGTAGTTCAGTTGGTTAGAGCATCATCCAAATACAACAAGGTTGAGGGTTCAATTCCTGGTCAGGCCACATACAAGAATGCATAAATGAATGCATAAATAAGTGGAATAATAAATTGATGTTTTTATCCTCTCACTCTCCATCCCTTCTTCCCTCCCTCCCTCTCACTCTAAAATTAACAAAATGTTTTTTAATTTTTTAATTAAAAAAAGTATAATTTAATTGATTTTAAATATATTTTTATTGATTTAAGAGAAAGGGAAAGGGAGAGAGAGAAACATCAATAATGAGAATCATTGATTGGCTGCCTCCTGCAGGACCCCAATGGGGATCAAGCTTGCAACCCAGGCATGTGCCCTTGACTGGAATCTTTCTTCTTGTGTCATAAAAATTTAACTTATTCACTCAATTGGCATCTATGTCCTAATCAATTACTAAGCAAAGCACTTTCCTTACACTTGAAGAGATGCACCAGGGCCTAAGGCAGGCCCTTTTCTCTAAGCAACTGTAAAAGAAACATTTTGCTTACGCAAGCAAGACCTCAGGCTCACTTTGACGTATCTGGTTCATGAGCACAGTGCCTGCATCGGTTCCTTTCTTTTCCCTTTACAAAGGGCTTTCGTTTTTTGTGTCATTTAATCTCCACCACTCAATTCTGTAAGTGCAAGAAACACCCAAAGTCTCTGTGTCCTTTCCATAAACACTGGTTACACATCCCCAGTGAGGGAACATAATATATTTAATGCCCTGCTTAGGTTTTCTTTGTTTAGAAAATCTGGTTGCTTGCTTACTCTTTTGTTATGTCTCTATAAACAAATGAGGGGAAATTTATCTCTATGTAAGATATAAGAAAACTGGGATTGGGAAGCCAACAATTTTATCCCAGAAAAAGATACTAATAAATATTGGGCCATAACATTTGCTCTACCCACCTACCCTGCATTGAGCACTTAGTTATTCCCCACAAAGACTTGGATATAGACAGTTCTGCCCCTGTGTTCACACCACGACCAAGTACATCAGGCCAGTCCACACCACTTATCTTACAAAAACCTCCCACCTTTTGAGATTCTTCAATGCAGCACCTTCCAACTTACCCCTCATAATAAATCTCAAGCTAACTACCCCTTCAATAAAAAATTTTTTAAAACTGTTGTAAAAAGCTTCCATGTGAAAAACTTTGATTAAAGATATGTTTAAAAAGAACAATATACTTTGGATTCCCTAAGTCTAAACTTCTAGTTCTCCAAATGCATTTATTTCTTACTCTTAGCAATATATTTACACTTAGAGATTTATCTTGCATGAGCCTTCTATCTCAAAAAATGATAGCCCACAATATACCAAATGCAATAAATTCCTTTTATACCATGAATGGCATCCCATCCTTATCAATTCTGTTAAGTTGCAAATTCTGTGAAAGTAGTTTACTTTAAAATGTAAGTTATAAAGTCAGCCTCAAGGGGAGGGGGGAATTTTTGCTGGCAGAAGAAAAGATTAGTAATGAAATTTGACCTTGACACATTAGTGATATAAAGACAAATGTGGCTGGCTTGTGAAGACTGTCATACTTTAGCTGCCAGCTACTGATCAAAAAGAAAAAAAATGGCAACTTACCAACAACTGATGCACCTCTTTCTGCAAAAGCCAGAGCATAGGCTCGGCCCAGCCCTAATGGAAAACAAAATAATCAAAAAGTTGAGCAAATGTTAGGGTAAGTTTTGGTCCACTCAACTCAATCCCTATTTTAAAGTAGCCATGAGCAATTAATTATGTCTTCATTAGTACTCTCAACCTGTATTTCACCCTCCTCTACTTGCAGAGGTTAAAAAGCTTAAACTGTATTTTCTACCTTTTCTACCTATCATTTCCTACCATTCAACCTGGCTGCTAGGATGCTAGATGGGAACTGGATTCCACCATTAAACGCATTTGCATGAAATCTGGAAGTGGAAATGAGGCAGACGCCACCTTACTGTGACTTCTAGCTGTTGCTGTTGGTTAAGGAGCAGATTTCTTGAAGCTTCCTAGGTATTAAGAAACCGTGGGCGTAGTGGCAACCTCTTACCCTAGCTCCCTAAATCTGGAGGGTAGCTTCCATGTTCTACATCCCTGGTATCCATGAGGCTGCAGCAGTTAATGGCAGCCTCACAGGTTGAGGCTCCTAATGGGCCTGCTCTGTATTGTTCCACCAGTCATTCCCAGAGGAGCTGCCTAAAATACAAATGGCTACGTTAAATCCTTTCCTGCTTCAAATATCTGGCGATTCTTAAGTACTGCACTGGACTGTGATGACACAATCACCAAACACATATTTGATTCTCAATTAAATAGTAATTAAATGTTTAATTCCAGCTCAAAGATATAAGGTATAAATGTACACATCCAAAAATGAATACAGGTTTTACAGGCATAGAATATCTCGGGAAAAATATATAAGAGGCTGCCAGTTAGTGCTCGCATCCAGGGCTGGACAGAGCGGGACTGCTCAAGATTTCATCACGCTACTCAGAATAGTGCACAATTTTAAACTCCTGAAGTTTATTTCTAGAACTTTCCATTTAACAAGTTTTTGGGTCAACGGTAACTGAAGTCACAGGTTAACTGGGGACTAGTGCAGAGTGCTTGGCTTGATAAGTATGCAAACTTATCGAGGACTCTTAGATGTCTCTTTAAAGAAGGCCCTCTCCGGAATAAAAATTAGCCTAAAGCCATGGGACAGAGGAAAGGAACCGCTAAGTGAGGGACTTTTCGGAGGCAAGGAATTGACAGCTCCACTCCCCGGGGTGGGAGGGGAGGGCCGCCCCCAGCCGCTTTCCCGCAACTTTAAAGACTGAGCGAGGCCCGAGAGTCTCAAGGCAGGAAGAGCCGCCCCTGATGCGCAGAGAGGAGCTCAGTTAGGACTTTCACCTCGTTCTGCAGCCCGCAGCCCAGCCCCGCCTCCCTCCTCGCGTAACTCTGGGGCCCACGGGCGGCTGCACAGGGCGGGTCGGGGAAGGGGCTGCAGCTGACCGTGTGGGTAGGAGTCCGTGGCCCCCCACGCCCGGCCGCCAGCCCCACCTCTCCCTCCACAACAGACTCGGTGTCCTGACAACAGCAGTTGTACGTCCTCTCCCTCCATCCCACCGCGTCCAGCCCCTCGCTCCCCAGGCCGCTTCTTCCCGACCCCACCCCGCCGCCCGCAGCCCCATACTGAGCCCGGACGCAGCTGCTCCCACGCCGCGACCCCAGGGAGTGCGTGCCCTCCAGCCTTCGCGTGCTCACCTCCCCCTGCGCCGGTGACCAGAACCACCCGCCCGTCGAATCTCAGCGGCGAGGCCATGAGTCCAACCTGCAAGACACACACAGACACAAGCAGAACCTCCGGAGCTCAGACTGCGGGACAGGGAAGAGACGGGCAAAGAGGAGGCGGGTGCGAGTGACCTGCCAGTTTCTGGGAAGGAGACGGACGCCGTAGTTTTCCAAGTGCGCCTGCGCGGAGACCCTTGGCCCTCTGGGAAATGTAGTCCAGCGTGCCTCCAGCGGGGAGGTGGCGGGGAAAGCCCGCCCAAGAGGCTTAGGTTGAAAGCCCATTTCTGCTGCACGAATTAGTAATAGGAGCTGCTGGAACTTGTGTGGTAAAATAGCTGACTTGGCACCTTGAGTTTATTCATTCACCCGTTGTTTTGTCATTCACTCAACAAACGTTTTCTGGATTCAGGAGCTAGCCTAGAGACATAGGACGCAGCCCCTATCCTTAAGTAGCTTTCAAAACAGCCTCTAAGAAGGAATGGCCCCCTTACCAATGAGTAAAGATGCCTCAGAATGTAATATCTGGACCTCCTGCATGAAGTTCATCTGGGAACTGTCAAAAATGCATAGTCGTGGACCCCCACGCTGATCCCCCAAAACAGAATCGCGGGACCAAAAAAAATGTTCACAAGTGCCCCTAAATGATTTTTGGTTTTGTATGTTGATAACAGTCCTATGATGTAATTCAGTCAACATTTATAAAGCACAAGTTTACAGATGAACAGTAAGGTCACCCGGAGTTACCCAAAGTCAAATATAAACCTTTAATAACAGTGTAAGACCTGTGGCAAATATGTACAAGTTAGCTAAATGGTGCCAAAATAAACGGACCCTATCCCTGTTGGGGAGAAAGGGGAAAACTTTCCAAAGGAGATGACGCACAAAGTACTTTCAGAAGTGAACTATGCAAAAAAAAAAGAAAGAGGACATTACAGGCAATTAAATACTAGCTAGATAGGGGGCGGGGCGGGAAGGGAGAGGGTAGGCCGCAGAAGTAAGCAGTCTGTCAGATCACATTTAGATGTTTTAATTTAGTGCTGAGAATGACTTTAAGCAGCATTACTCCGGAGAACACATTTATATCATGGAAGCGTCGCTCTGCGCTATTATTGAGGAGTGATTGGAGGTTGACAAGGAGAACTGATAGAAGAAACCTGCTCGGAAAAATTATGGAGGTCAGAAGTAAAGTCAGAGGAAATGTTGAAGAGGAAAAATGTTAAGATATTTTTGGAAATGGAGTGAAGGCTTTGTGATTAATTGGATGTGGATGTGAGGGAGGGACAACTGAAGCAACCCCCATATTTCTGGCTTGAGAATCTAGGTTATGGTGGCAGTCATCAGAAAAGGAATAGTGGGAGAAGAGCAGCTTTTAGAGGGAACATGCCTGCGACTTGGGACACACTGCATTTGGGAAGTGAAAGGAAGCTATGGCTGCAGATGCCTCGCAGACAGCTGTGGTTTTTAGAGCTCAGAGATTTTGTTGTTATCGTTTTAATATAATTTTATTGATTTCAGAAAAGAAGGGAGAGGGAGAGATAGAAATATCAATGATGAGAGAGAATCACAGATCGGTGCCTGCATGCCCCCTGACTGGGAATCAGACCATGACCTCCTTGTTCATAGGTTGATGCTCAACCACTGAGCCACACCAGCAGGGCTCTGAGAGTTTGATTTCATTGTTCAGGCACAGCAAGAGAAGTCTCTCTGTAACCCAAGACTAACTCGCCAAAGAGCAGCCCTTTGGCTGAAAGCTGGCCCTAAAACAGCAACTTGCTCTCCTAACCGTTTGTGCACATCCGCCTTATGACAGTTGACCCTTGAATTCCAGTGCGCATGGAAACCCCAGGAGGCTAACTCTGAGGGCACTGGGCCCAAAGATAAGAAAGCCCTTGTGATATGAAAGAGGTGACTCCTAAAGCTTTGGGCCAAGACCTCGCCTTGTCCCAGTGCCTCCTCCAACCAATGGGGAGGGTTGCCTGGAGACAGAGCCCTCCTCTTAGTCCCATGCTGGCACTAGCTCTGCTGCCCGCCACACAGGCTGCTCTGTGAAAAGGCGAGTTTACCCTTGGTTCAGACCAATGACGACCTTCTTTGCATACTGGCCACGAGGAAGGCCAGGAGGTCTAGTCCGAGGGCATTATGAATCCAGGCTTGAATCAAGATGCAAAAGCGAGCCTTGGGCACGCCCATGTGGGAATCCTAGGTTCAAGGGTAAGCCTGTGTGACAGCTTGGTAGACTTTGGCCTCCACACCCCTAATTCCTGCAGAGAAAGCTGAAGTAGCCAGGCAATGCAGCAGAGCCAAATTTCCACAAAGTAGATCCCTGGAGATGCCCTAGTGAACTGTGCACTAGGCCCTTTCTCCAAGCCCCACCTGGTGCAAGTGCCCAGATATCCTTGTCGGGTATCTGTTTTGATTGTGTGTTATAATGTTTCCTCTTTAACCCAATAACCCTGTTCTTATGTTTTAAAAAAGTAATTAGAAAACAAAAGGGGGGAAAAAGCAGTGTGTATCCATATTTTCAGGATCAACCCAGTTGTAACCTACAGTGAGGTGTCCCCACCACAGACCTAGAACGGGAGTGAGAATTAAGGCTTCATCAGCCATGGCTGGGAGCCAATACTCCACTTCCCAGGCTCACATTGGGCGCTGGCTAGTCCCAGATCAAAGCCAACAAGCATAGATAAATGCAAGTGCCTAGCAAGTGCCTGGTAAGTGCCCAAATAAATAGGCCTTGAGTATGAATGAGAGGCAGTACAGATTTAGGAATGACAGTCATAGAAGTACAGTGAGGAATGTAATTTAAAACACTACAGAAAGTGTTCCTATATAGTAGAAGTATAGATTTTTTTTCTAAAGGTCTCATCTTGCTCTCAAGTTCTCGTTCTTGTGGGAGGGGAGGCAGAAAAGGAAACTTAAACTTGTCAGTTAAAAATAACTCAGTCTGTTTGGGGTAAGTGCTATCTTTCAGAATTTCTTCCTCCTCCCTCTCCTAGCCTATAGGTCACCTTAACATAGTGGAAGGGTTTGGCAAAGGTAGGTGTGGTCCTTAAAGCTATGCTGGTCTCAGCTTCTCCCCCCACCTACTGATGAAGTATGTGGCAGATAAAATGTGTGGTTTATTTCTCAGCATCATAGAGGGGTCTCAGTGGTCCTCAACCCACCTGCACTGGGGCCCAATTCAAATCTATCTAGCCTCTGAATCACATTTATATCAGTGTGTGGGTTTAGTTATTCCAACAATCTGTTGTGCATCACATCTTACCCTGTAAACTATTTTAGCGATTTCTATGTAAGTGTAAACATCCTTCAAAATAAAAATTTACTCAAACAAAATTTTTTTAAAAAATTATGCCAACCAGGAGCCAAGGGAGACAGGCATAGGACCTTCAGCTTGCTCATCACATAGACTAACAACAAGGCTACTGCCATTCTGCTATGGTCACCCTATGATGATTCAAGGTCACGTGTGGCAGTGTCTTCTCAGAGTCAAAATCTATCTGGTGCTTCTGTCCTTTTCACTGACCCATCTCTTCAAGCCCAGGCCAGGAAAAGGACAAGGGGTGTTGGGGCCCTAAAGAATGCAGGCCAACCATAGCCCCTATTATCTGCCCTCCTAACCCTTTCTATTGCCTTCCCAGTAAGAATTCTGTTTAATCTTTCCTGCTGGTTAGAACTCCTCCTAAGTTTGTCTTCTCTGCTTTGACCTTATGGATGTTTCTTTTCTAAGGGCTCATGCTTCTAAGGGAGAAACCACGCTTTATGGCTTAACCCTGATGCTGGGCAAACATGAAGGGATATTACAGTGAAACAATATTCTTCTCTTCTTTGCTTCTCAGTCTCTGAACCTCCATCTTAACCTCAGAGGCTGAAATGCCAGGTACCTTCCTAACCTCCCTTGCATCTAGGCGTAGCACACAACCTAAGTTCTACCAATCAGATGCTTCTCCCAAGGCATTGAATTGGGGTGGAATGACAAACTATACCAAATCCACTCTGGTGGTAAATGGAAGCAACAATGGCATCAGCTCTAGTGGGAGTGGGAAACATTCAATGGCAGCAGTGTCAGAGGCATGAATCGCAGCGTCCAGTATCCAGCTGCAAGGATAATGGTATCCTCATCAGACCACCTGGGGCATGATGGGCATGGTTCCTGACCATAGCAGCTCTGAACCTCATTTCCTGAAAATTCTGTCAGCTGTCACTGAGCTGCAGCTAACCTGAGATTGCAGCTGCACGGGCTGATTTAGGACTTGTAAACCACAGAAGCCAAGTTAAATTTAAAAAACAAACAAACAAACAAACAAACAAAACAACAACACATAGATTCCTTTGGGAACCAACACAGATCTTCCAGGACCTCATACAGCATGTCCGGATCAGGTCTTGGATAGAGACAGGCATTTCTCTCCAGGGGTCACAAAAGCTCTCTAGGGGACCCTATACTGCAAAGGCAGCTGACCTTTGCATGAACTTCAGACCCATTATTAGCACCTCTAGACTGGAGCACTTTAGTCTTGGCTTTTTCTCAAGCTCAGCTTAGTAGGTAGAAATCTAGTTAATTTTTTACTAAACTTTTTCTTCTTTATCTTGTTTCTTAGCCTTGAATAGATGACCCAGTTTAGACCTTATGCAGAAAATAAAAAGTAATATATACTTTCAATATATGTGAGAGAGAAACATTGATCTGTTGCCTCCTCTACACGCCTGGACCAGGGATTGAACCCAAAACCTGGGGTTGTGTTCTGACAGGGAATCCAACCACAACCTTTTGCTGTACAGGATGACACTCCAACCAAGACACCCAGCCAGGAATGGGCATACTTCTTAATACCTAACATAAAGGGATTTCCTAATAATCTATTCTTGATTTTGAGCTTAATGATTTATTATAAGAGAACATACTTCGATTTTAATTCTTTTTCAATATATTGAGATTTATGATCAATTTTAGCAAAGAATCCAAGTGTACTTAAAAAGAATGTGTAATTTGCATTTTAGGGCTCGGCGTTCTATATCTGGCCATTAAGTTAAATCTGCAGATTGTATTATTCAAGTCTTTTATATCCTTACTGATATTTTGTCTGTTCTATCAGCTACTGAGATAAATGTGTATAAAATACCCAACTTGATTGTGGTCTGTAGGGAAAGGCCTAACCATTC